TTTTGAAAAATTTTTCTCAAAAAATGGCCAAAACAGACTGAATGATAGAATAAAGAATTTGAATGGATATAGATAGAGAAAGAGAGTGATAAAGGAGATATAAAACATATTGATAGAGTGAGAGAGAGGAAGGGAGAGAGAGAGAGAGAGAGAAAGATAGAAAGAGAAGGAGGGAGAAAGGACGTAAGTGGGCTGGAAGAAGTAGATATGAAATAGAAAAAATGTATAAATTAAATAAAAAGAAATAAATTAAGTAGAAAATCTTGTTATGTTGACAAGTATTTCCTTTTATTTCGTGACAATACGAAATAAATGAAGATAAAATCATTTTTCTTGTTAAACTATGCAAATTGTTATTTGAGAAATGGACAATTCAACGGACATTACAGAAGATACGGGTAATTTTTTATATTTTTTTTCGTTTTTTTATATTTATAAATCGATAATGGCTACATAATTGAATGTGTTGTGAGATGTAGTTTGAGATGTAATTGTTGTTAAGGACGTACCATCTTGAGTGATGTGATTGTTGGCATACTGATGATGCTGCTATCAGCTGTTTGTGGCATTGCTTATTCACTTATCCTCAAAGTATAATATACATATAGTATATAGATAGTATAGTTAACTATTTGAAGATAATGTGGAAGGATAAAGAGATAATGAAGTTACCTTCATATCAAATCATGTTTGCATTAGGAATATTTGATGTTATTCAATGCTTTCCTCATTTCGTTACCGGCATATTTACAATTTCTCAAACTGTCTTTCATTACTACTTAGCTAAGGTATAGAGATGATTTCATATCATATATCTTTCATTCTATTATAGTCAATGGGTGTATTAGCAACTCCATGCTATGTTGGATATGCTGTCTTAACAGTCATCTTGGGTTTCAATCGTTTCATTCAATTATTCTCAAAACGATTAGATGATATTTTATTTTCAAATTTTGCTGTTAAAGTATTCAGATGTATAAGGAGAAACCTTATATCTTATATCTTTTATAGATTTGGATAGGAATCGGCGTATTAGCATGGTTAGCATACGTATGTGCTTTATCTTCCCCATATGCGGCTATTGTATATATACCTGAATGGTTAGTTCATTATACTATTCTATAGATATAATATGAGATCAAAAGTTAATTATTATATCATTTAAGGTACAGCTGGGGATATGATGATTCAAAATATTCGCATTATGTTGCGAAAGTTGAAATGTATATAGAAGTTGTTGGAATATTTATTTCCGGAATATTTTATTTGTTTGTTGTTATACTACTAGCACATAAGGTTGTTTATACTTATTCATATATAGTTAACTATGCTTTAACTATGCTATTTGTAGAGAAAAAAGTTTTTGGTATCCTCACAGGATAAGATGGAGTTAAAAATTTTGATTCAAGCATCAGCAATAACCCTTTATTGCACAATACTCAATGTGTTTTGGCATAATTATGAAGTATGAACTATATATGATATATTATACTAATTATATGTATATTAAAGACATTACTACCAGCTAATATATGGTCATATTGCGCTTTAAACTTTATGTGGATTGGCAATAGTGGTGTTCATCCATTAATCTATATCATAGTGAACAGGTATACTTCTATCATCTGGATCTCTAAAGAACATATGTACTCATATATATGAACATGAAAGTAATCATGTGCTTTAACTAATTATGCGTACTTTAATATTCATGAGTTGATTATCATTCATGATAAACATGATCAGCCATGTTAAGAAGCGGGAAGTGGAGATTCAAGCTTATCAACTGACTGAGCACACACACACATCTCCTTCACTAATATCTAATGAACATGAAATAACTTGTGATTAATCAAAATAACAAAATCTATATATATATATATAAATAGATAGATTATTATGTTCTCATATTTGCAGAGCTATACGTCAACGTATAAGAATCAAGCCGACCACGTTGACAATCGTCTCTCATACACCCAAAAGCTTTCATCGTGCATAGTATGAATGTATTTATCATAAGAAGATTTGTATTATAAATTCCTTCTTCTATCATATCCATCTATGAAGTTCAATAAAATTATATTTTTTCAAGTATATTTTAATTAAATTTTTATTGCGGAAATTTGGTTGAGCATTAATCATCCGCTTGTATTAAAGCTCGATGAATATAGTTAACGAGATGTTGGTTGAGAAGGATGCGAAGACATGGAGAGAGGGAGGAGGAGAAGGAGGGGTGGGGGAGTGTAGATGGAGGGGTGGAGATTCAGAATATGCATTAAATAACAAAATTCTTTGCCTTTTTATTGTTTTCAAATGATAGACATCTGCATAAGAATAATAAAATCACATATTCTTCACATCGACATCTGAGACATACACACATCAGAAGAGGTATTGGAGAGATTAACAAGGTGAGAGTATATCCATGGGTGAGTTATAACATATTATATGATTAGCATATTAACTTATGTTAGAGAATACTATAAGCTTTCTTGATATCGTTATTGGAATCGTTATGATTGCCATATCCATCTCCATTATATTTATTTATATTTTAATCTTATGTGTATGTTTAACTTCCAACCCTCTACTAACTATAACATATAATATATATTTTCAGACTATTTATTCTGATAAGGATTTGATCAAATTAACATCTTATCGATTAATCCTCATACTTGGCTTATATGATATTCTACAATGTATTGCACATGCTAGCACTGGCTTCTTCACCATATTCCCATCTCTCTACAAGTATCCAATAGGAAAGGTAGATCACACAGAAATCTGTATTTAATGAAACGGTAAATATGCTATTTTTAGGTATTGGGAGTATTAGCAACTCCCAGCTATATCTCATATGTAACCTTCTCACTCATTCTAGCTATTAATCGTATGCTTCATATCCTATCAAAGACTGTCGATGATTTCTTCTTCTATGGCAATCGCTTCTATGTAATGATATCTGATGAGTTACAGAAATCATTCTAATTATAGATTTGGATAGCTCTTGGTCTTCTATTATGGTTTAGCTTTGTATTAGCATTGTCAAGCCCATGGGCAACAATCGCTTATATTCCAGAATAGTATGTTTTGCATGTATTTTACAATTCAACAAACACTTCATTACAGCTATAGTTGGTCATACGACTTCTCGCTACAGTTATCTTTGATTATTAAACGAGTAGAGATGGTTATTGAAATAACCTTTGTTTCTCTCTCTGCTCTATGCTATCTAGTCATTGTCATATCTATAGGAACTCAGGTAGTTGAGAACTTAATTTTTGAACCTTCATCCTGACACCATGTCATCGCTCTGCACCTGAGAGATCAAACTACCCAATAACAAAGATCAATCAGATGTCTTTTGTTTTATAGTCTTCTTTGGACTTTTTTATATTTCATTAATTATTCCCATCTAGTTACCTTCCTCATTCAGAGACGTAGCTATTCGGTAGGCGCTGATCGTGGAGCGGAAAAAAAGATTTTAATTCAAGCTTCTGTCATCACGCTATATTGCATGCTTCTGAATGTATGCTGGCATAACGATGTAACGATATATCTAATACCATATTGGGTATAACCAAAATATGATTACAGACAGCATTACCGAATCACAAAGCAACTTTTCTCATTCTCAATCTGATGTGGATCATCAATGCAGCAGTTAATCCCATAATGTATCTTATAGTTAACAAGTATCATAATACTATCATATATATAATATATTTTATAATTTACAGAACTTTACGAAATCGATTAAATCGTTCAACAGTTGCCATTTCAATGGTTCAAAGTATAACCACAGATGCTTATATTAGAAAATAAATATTTTTGTATTCTTTGAAATATATTTTGTTTTCTATGACGTCAAACTCCTTTTACATGATTGAACGAGTTTTGAGACATTTTTTTTTCATCATTTTCCTTCAAGTAAAAGCAAATAAGAAAATGAAAGAGACAATTAGCATCTGAAGGAACAACCATCTCTCAACGATGCCAATAGAAACAGTTAAGCATTTGGAAAAAAAATTAAATAATAAATATCTTCAAATGTGTCCGTTCGACACATCATTTTCATCTTTTCCTTCTTCTTCTTCTTCTTTTTCTTTTATCTGTGGTATGTCTCGTGCTGTCATCCCCAAGAATGATTCTTTGAAATTTTTTTTTCTCACTGATTACGTCACAGGACAGGAAATGGTTGGTTCTTACGTCCTTCAGAAGATGCGCTGAAATGAAGTATTTTTTGAACTTTTCCAAATTTTGTCTAACGACATCGAAAGGTCATGTGGAAGAAGGGTGTGGAGAATTTTTGTTCTTCAGCGTACTGTGAAAGCCCGCTTGTCAGTTACCTATGCCTGACGGTACCAACTGTATGAGGTGATTGCGACAATGAGAAGAACAAGCCACAACATTCGTTTGCTCTCATTCAAACCCCCCTCATATGGATATTTCAGTTTCTCTCTCTTCACGTCTATCTCTCTCTCTCTCTTTGTAAATGCTCAAAAAACTTGTTCAATAGCTGGAACTGTTTAAGCTTTTACAATCAATAATCGTACTTTTTATGAGTTTTTGACAGCCAAGGTCAAGACGTTTGTCGTCCCGTTAAACCACCGTCGTCTCCGTTTTTTTAAATTTTATTTTGTCATTTAATTTTATTTGTCTTTTTCATCATTTTTGCACTTGAATGCAGCGGCTTTTCATTTGACTGCCAATTGTTCTTGAACTGTTTCAGTTTTCTTTTCGATTATTAATTCTCATATTGCTATTACTATCTAGAAGACTGCATTTATCATTTTCAGAAATCATTCATTCATTGAAGAGTTGCACATCTGAGAAGAAATCATATCATCCATTGAAATTTGGAAAAGCTTTAGATGGCTAACATAACAAGACCGTCTCTATGCTTTATCATTTACTTATTTATAATAATTAAATTAGCATATTCATTAGAGATAGCCTTATTTCCATCTAGTGGATGCTATAGTCATGATGTGATGATGAAACAAATAGGAGAAGAATTTAAAAATGATAGTATTACTTGGATACAAACATTCCTTTATGATTTTGGATTTGGCCAATTCCCTTTACCAAAACAGTGGAAAAACATTTCCATAGATGGAGTTGATGATGAAGGTATTTGAATAGAAGGTTTTACATCAAATACTTTAAAGATTTCAGTCCATTTGGTGTTGAAAAAATTATTAAGAAAGTTGTTGTGTTCAGAAATGAGAGATAGAGAGAGATAGGCGTAGAAGGGAACTTCTAGGAATGTAAGGAAAGTGTGGGAATCTTGTAAGAATGGCAACTGTGTGATAAGTAAATGAGAGAGAGAGAGAGAGAGAAAGCGCCGCAAATGAAGTTGTTATGGGGGTTTCTTGAGAATGAAAATGAAGAATGAGAGAGAAAAGATGATCCAATAAGTGAAGGCCATAGAGAGAGAGAGAGAAAGAGAGAGAGTTAAGGACTGATAAATTCAGAAGTTATTCATATTTACAACAAGATGCTTCTATTCTCCGTACATCTTGACTTTTTGAATTTTTGATCGAAAAAAAGGTCATTGATAGGTTAGTAAGAATAAGAAGTTGAAATGTCCATAAAAGTGTTACATTTATGACATTTGAAAGAGAAAAGGTACGAGAGAGAGAGAGATAAAGAGAGAGATGAAGAACGACCTGGTTTGACCTCAACTAATCTTTGATTTTAACAGGCCGAGCCATAATGAGAAAAGCTGGATCACTACTGTGGGAGATGAATGTTCCAACAGATTTTGATAATTTGATGGATTTACGGGGAACATTGACATTCTATAAGTCTGTTTGTTTAATGAAAATATAATTGAATGAGGATATGAATTTTAGAATGTTAGAACGTCATCAGACATTCTGTGAAAAAATGCTAAAATTTCCACAATTTCTTGATTATGTGCAGAATACTCAACCTGATGTCATTGTACTTGATCATTTTCTACAAGTAAACAAGAACAATGATGATTAGTTAATTATATTGTATAATTAAGGAATGCATTGGATGTTTAAGTCATCTTCTCAACTCATCCGTAGTGCAATTCTCTAATTGGCCGATAGCTGATGGCTACATTACATCACTCAATGTACCTGCTAATCCAACAGCCATACCTAAAACAGGTATAGAAGGAAGTATATTAATTATAAATAATAATAATTATATGAATAGGTACACCATTCAGTGGTCTTGAAATGTCATTCTCCTCACGTCTCACTAATGTTATATTTCATTATATAATTGTATTTACAAGATATATTCAAATTCACGTTCTGAACAGCTTATTTGCACGTGAAGGATATCCACAGGTTATAATTCATTTATTCTATATTTAAATATATTTTAAAATACTTTTTAACTTATATATATAATTTTTATAGGTTAACGTAATGGACTCTGAAGCTCAACGCATAATTTATGCGGGTCGTTCTGAATTTTTATTTGACGTCGTTCGTCCTATAAATAATCGTGTAAAACATTTTGGAGCATCAAACTGCAAGTAATCATCTAAGAATATATAAATATATATATAATTAACTAATATAATTAAGAGATCCTAAAGAGTTTGTTATATGGTTGCCTGAAGACACAAATTCAAATGTTTCAATTGAACAAGCCGTCATCCCATCATATCCAACTGATGTCATATCCTATGTATCCAATAACTCTTCATTATTCTCCCTATGTGAGAGAAATTGCAATGATAAGTTAAAGAAATCATCATCCACATGGACATATCGGTAATCTATATGAAAAGCTTTAACTATATTAATTATAATAATATTATAGGTCAGATCTATTTGAGAATATACCATCGAGCGTTGTTAAAGAACGATTTGAACGAGTTGTTCATCAATTTCCAACAATTCAATGGAATATAATCAATAGTTCTCCTTTTATTTTGGTCAGTTTTGGAAGTGTTGCTCAGGTAATTTGTATTATATTTTACATTTTATGAAATTACTTCTATTTTCAAGGTCGAAAATATGCCCGTTCCTCACCTGAAATCACTTCTCAACATTTTCTCAAAAACAACAAGTGCTGTCATATGGCAGACGAATTCTCCAATTGAAGAGATTTTGACTAAAAGAAATATTACAAAGCCGGATAATATGATTCTAGTTCATTGGGCACCAATCAAAGAACTCTTAGGTGAAGCATATTTTTCTTTTTATATTCTCAATCTTATTTCTTCTGACATTGTGCGAGTGAGCGAATCAAAACTTTCATTTTTATTTTCTTCACGATGGTGATACTGAGCTTCAATCGTCAACTGCTCAGAGCTGTCTTACAGAAAACAAATTGACCGTATAGGGAAGCCATTTTCATTTCCCATCTGAACACGACAGCATCGGCTTTTCTGAGAACCATTTTTCATTTTCCACGTGCGCCCCGCGTGGAGAGATCGTACAGAAGACCAAATTTCATTTACCACCTGCCCAACACATGGAGCGGCCGTTCTGAAGACCAAATTTCATTTTTCAACTGCGTCACAGCTAGATGTCGGTCGTGCAAACGGCGCTTTCATTCTGCACGTGCAAGACTTCTGAACCAGTCGTGCGGTTGACTGATTTCATTTTCCACGTTCTCGATGCACACATCGGTCGTGCAGAAGATGAGTTTAATATTCAATCATGCGGTGCGAGACAGCTCATTTATGCAAAATAAAACTAATATTGAGTAAAAAAAATTATTTAATGAACACTTTTGCAGCTCATCCAAACTTGCAATATATCATTTGTCATGGAGGAATTAATACAATAAATGAGCTCTTACTCTTTGGGGTACCCGTCATTGGTGTGCCTCTACAAGTAGGCAGAGGATTAAAATCTTTTTAGAAACTGAAATGATATTAAGGGAGACCAAGGATCAAACTTGAGACGTTTGGCAGATCTAGGAGCAGCCGAAATAGTACCAAGTAGTCGTTTATCAAAAGGAGATCTAGAGCCAGCAATGAGAAAAGTTGAAAACAACTTGGAAAAGTGAATTGATATAGTAAATAATAATATATTTCATTATTATTATATATAGATATTGGATAAGATCAACACAAATCTCATCAATGTTAAAGTATTATAGGAAGCTGCATTCAGATGATCAAACATTCTGGTTAAGGTACTTTCATTCATCATTAACTATATAGATTATATGTTTAAGATGGACAGCTCGCAATGGCAAACAGCTAAGAAATAGAAAACTATTCAAATTACGATATACTGGTGATGAAGAGAATATATTTTGGATGGAAATACTAACTATTCCAATCTTATTAGCTCTATTGATATCATACTAAGTGACGGGGCATCTAAGCTTTCATACTGATTTCTCAAACCAAATATTCTTTCAAAATTCATTTATTTCTTCAAAAACTTTAAAATAATAAAAAAGTGGAATAAAATGAAAAATGAAAAAACTTACTTTCATTGAAATTTCTCATGGAAAGACGAAAAACGATTCGAACTATGTGTACGCGTGTGTGTGTGTGTGTGTGTGTGTGTGTGTTCGTGTGTTCATCTATCTCTCTCACTCTCTCTCTCTCTCTCTCTATGTTATACCTTTCTTTGTAACATAAATGAAAAGATTTTTATAAAGTTTTTTTTAATAAAATGTTGTTTTTTTCCATTAAATTCGCTGAATAATACGTAAACGAACTGATAGTAAAGAGATAATTTTAATTAAAATTTCGTCTTTATATGTTCTTGTTATCATCAAGTCATTCAGATGGCTTTTTATGTTTTTGTATCTCAATGGTCAACTGAATGTTCAAGTTTTGATAAGATTTGAACTGTTTTCTCTTTTCATTTCTTCATCTATCTACATACACCTCTCTACTCCTTCACACATCTATCACTCTCACTCTCTTAAACTGTTTCCACTTACTGAATCTGTTTAAAACCCTTTTTTAGACTTTATGTCTTCTTTTTCCCCTTCTTCCATCCTCCTTCTACCGTTTTCCCTCTTTTTACAAAATGTTTGCACCACTGATTCATTCGGAAATGATATGGAGAAGCCGAACAATAAGCTGAGGAAACGATTAATAGAAGCTAGATGGAATTGGCAATTGTGAGGGAAAAAACTTCAAAGAGAATTAGATAGTTACATGAAGATGAAAATAGAAAGCATTTCTATAGAATGTAAAGAGATACAGATGATGAAAGGTGGACGACAGGAAACCTGGAAGACCATGTTGAACTACCTGTCCTATTTGATTCCATTGATGGTCAAAATGGATTTGCTTGTTTGAATACTATGAATGGGCGGCTAAAGTAAAGATGAATTTCAATTCTGGACTAAGAAAAAACAAAAATGTTTGGATGGAATATTTCATTTTTTTCATTTTCAAGAGGTTTTACGTGAAAAAGAGAGTTAACGAGAGAGAGATAGAGAGAGAGGGGGAGAGAGAGGTAGAGAGATCTCAGGTGAAAAGTATAAGAAAAGGGAATTTCCAAAGTAAGGACATCTTGAAAGGGTGGAAGAAAGCAGCAATTCATTTGTAACAAACTTTCCCATACTCGTCCGGTTTTGGATTAGCAGATGAGGACAATTTGCATTTGAAATCCAAGGCCAAGAAGATATGGGCAATAATCAGACAATGTCCTAATATGTAGTTTGAAAATTGGAATGAAGCTTGATGGCGGTTCAGTTCAAAAGGATGAAAATGTTTTTTTTCTGCTGTTAACGAAGACTCTTCTATCAAGACAATACGATTTTCACGTCTTTTTCAACAAATCCGTTTCATAGTGACGGAAAAAGATTTTTTTCAAATTTTAATCATTCGAATCAAAGTGTATACAACTCATCATATTTCATATCATTTCCTAATATCTTTTTGTAATAATAATTGGAGGAATTGATGTGAAACCGAAAATGGAAGAGATCGGTTGGGTTAGGTCGGGTTGATGTGTGTGGATAGAGATGGATGGATGGATGGATGGCAAACCTACGAAATAGAAAGCAAAAAAAAGATTTTTTGTTTCCCTAATTTATTATTTCCGTATATGATGGCAGCAAAGTTTAATAATTCTTTTGAAAGTTTTTTTTATTTATGATCTGATAGGTCTGTGAACGATGAGATGATAACGATTCGAAAAACCTTTGATCTGCAACATGATGAGCAACAAACAGAGTTTCTTTCCCTCCTTTATTCATCCTCAAATTTCTCTCTTTCCCTCTTTCTCTCTCTTTTTTATTCTCTCCCTTCATCTCTCGCGTTTGTTCGAATGTTCATCTATTTCACTGTTTTGCTTTATTTTCTTCCTTTTCTTTCTTTCATTTTTGGTATTTACAACAACACGATTGGGCATAGAGTCTTCTATGAAAATCATTCATCCTTTTCAGATTTTTAAGCCGAAAATTCCAAATGGCTATGAGAATCCAGCTTGTTGAGGCTTGTTGTCTTACAGATTGAAAGTATTAATCGCCTTTAATGGTCGTACATATTCATTTCCTTTTTCGAAATGATTGCTCAAGTTCCATGTGATGAACGGTCTTAACAATCGACCGAGTCAAGAAGATTCAAATCAGAATCTATCAACGAATACTTGGAAGGTCGGTTTTGCTTGTTTTTTTTGATTTATCCTTTTAATCCGGCTAGATGTGGATGGAGGATGTGAATAAAAAAAATTCTTCCATGGAGATTTATTCTGAAGAATGTCAGAATTGAAAAACTCTCAGAAGATATCACAGCAAAGGCACGTTGAAGCAACAAGATTGTGAATGATGAAACTGGCCATCGTCTATTGTGCAATTCCGGCAAACTGCAAACGAAACGTTAGCATAAGAAAAGTTTTGCTAACGATGCAAGAAATTTTCACGCAAGACTTAAAAAAGTGTAGAGAGAGGCATAGGAAATGATTAGAAAGGAGAGAGAGAATTTCATAAAAGGAGACGGCTGTTTAATTGGTTCAAACAGCATTTGATTCTTGCTAGACCACAGGCCCCCACAACGGTCGAAAGCCGGTCCGTCTGGAACCGTTTGTTCAGCTGGTATGTTTCAGCATTTCTTGCTTCTTCATCATCTTCTTCTTCTTTTCCTTCTCTTTTTCTTTTGTATATTTTGTAGGTGGACAGTATGGGCGGAGTCTGGGTAGATGTCTCCTTATAAGGATGAGCCTTCTCGCCATTCGGCACAGCGATCAAGCTCGTCTTACCTTCTAGCGTCTTTCGAAAATGGTAAGTTTTCAAAGATCTACTATCTAGAATGATATTTATTTATTAGAAACTTTTCTTCATCCTCTCCCTTCTTGCTGCCCCAACCTTCGCCTGCCTCGGAGGACTTCTTCCAGGAGCTGGAGGATGCGGAGGAGGCTGCGGAGCCGCTCCACCACCACCACTTCCATGCGGTGGAGGATGCGGAGGAGGAATTGCCCCAGCGTGAGTTTTCATTCTTTCAACAAATTATGTTCTTTCTTATAATAACTGTATAAGTTATATGCTAAGAATGTATGATTACAGTCCACAATATGCCCCACCACCACCAGCATACGCTGCCCCACCACCACCAGCCGGAAACAGCTACGTCCTCCCAGGAAAGTAAACTAGCGGATACTTCTAGTAAAATAAATTCTATCGTCACCAAAGTCATACATTGATTGTAACTGTTATTATACTTTCTGAACATATTGAAACTAAATAAAGAATCGACTAGATAGTTATGCGTTCTCTCTTTCATTTGCAGAATGATCGAACTACCTACAATAACAGTTCGAAAACTTTTTAAAAAACTTTCTTTTTGGTTTTTATTGGAGAAATCTAACTATCTGTGAATCAAAGATGATAGAATGCAATATCAACTTCTACTTTCATCCCGCATATGATGATATGAGGGATTCATCAACATAGAAGACAGACGAATGCAATTGAATATCTCGTGCCAATACCACCCCTCACCATTCTCTCTACCTACCTATTAGATTAAAAAGTGAATAACTAATATTATTAACTTTCTATTGATTGACACATCCTTTTCAATTTATTTGTGTAGTGATGAAGGCTTCTTCTCTTCTTATTTTATCATTTTCCTTCTCTCTCTTGACGATATTCTTCAGCCAAACAGCCGTCTTTTCCAATCCTGAAGCCGATGATGACAGGTGTGTCCGTGGCTAAACTCTTTTGAAGCAACTTTTAGACTAAAATGTCATTTTTTTGCCTCAAAAATCTTTTTTTTTATTGTAATTCTTCAGATATTCTGTCAGTGCATCTACTGTACTTGTACCTCGTTAACCTCTTCATCGTTCTCATCTCATTGCTCCCTCTTTCCATCAATCCGTAACTATCCATCCTTCCCTCCCTTCACACATTCTCATCTTGGTTCACTTTTAATTAAAATTTTCAATTTAAATATTTGTAATTGTCTCATCGTATGAATGTTTTTTTCTTCACCTCACTTCCTTCATATACATTTCAAGTTTCATTCAAATGTTCTGATTTGTTCTGTTCGGTGCGAAAAAAAAAAATTTCGGTTCTGCCAACAACCTTTAGTTCCGGATTGAAACATATCCGATTGCTTTCAAAGAAATTTGATATTTACAAGGATTTAACATTATCGTTAACTATATGTTATAAGGTATACGTTTAAAATGATTTGCAACATATCATCTTCTCACACAGTTCTATTACTTTAAAGGAATTAAAAGTATCTTTCAACTAGCTTCTTCATAATGGTCAAAGTTGTGTGCCAGGAAGCACGAGTGAAGAAGCTGATGTGCCGATCACGGATGTGAAAGGATAAAAATTTCTTTAAACTCTCTTAAAAATGAATAATATTTTCATTAAAACTATGTTAGAAAATCTAAAGATACTACTCTTCCTCTCTCTAAGCTTTCATCTATCTCTCTAACTGTCTCTATCTCCCTCTCTCTTCATATTACAACATTCAAATGTCATTCCATTCTCTAAACATTTGAACATTTTTCTCATTATCTTTTTACCTCTTAACTCTCTTCATTTGTAATAGTATTAAGATATATTGCCTATGAGAAGCTTGTTCAAAGCTTCATCCCTCTCTCTCTCACTCTCTATAACCTTTAAGTCTCTCTCTTCTCTCATTTCAATGCTCTATTTCTGTCATCATTTCATTTCCTTAACATCTTAACAGATAAATTTATCAGATTTTTAATAAGATAAATATTAGTTTTACATATTTTAATTGAAAGCCACTACTTCTCATTAATTATCATTTTATTGATTGATTAGCATGTACACTATGTTCACGTGAATATGACGTCAGAAAACAAAAAAAAAACATTGTTGAGATCTCATTTGCAGAGAGAGCGGTTGTTTTTTTCCGTTCCTCACACTTTTTCTCTTTATCATTCCTATTGTTATATATCTCTCTCTCTCTATTTTTCTCCCCCTCTCTCCCTCTCTCTATCTTTATTCCAACTTGCATTTCTTCTATATAAAAGAGGGAATAATGTTGTGTTTATTCCCCGGAATATCATGAGATAGAGAGAACTCTCATTCGAAAATGCTTGTTAAGAGCCATCAGATTGATTGAGTTGACCGCGTTGAAAGAAATTTTGACCTCTCTCTTCGCCACTCGCCACCCAGCTTCTTCACTATTTCAACATAATTATTTTCATTTTCATCATATTTGAGTTGAAAGATGAAAAAAAAGATCAGATGTATATATTGTTTCTTAAACGTTCAATTGAACTGGAAGCTGCGTAATGGATTTCATACAAGAAAGGAAAAGCTTGAATGCGTCAATTATCAATTTCCTTCAGAAGTACAACTGTGAACTTGCTGAAGACAAAATCTAATTGTAATTTGGAAACAAGTTGAACCCATATTGTTCTCAGAGCTGCTAATGACAATGCCTTGCTTTCTATTTTATTCTTAAAGAGGTCCTATCCCCCCCCCCTTTCTATCTCTTCTTCTCTCTTTCTCTTGTTTCATAAATTATATTTCACATCTCTCTTTATCTTTTCCCTCTTAAGGTTTTCTATTACATTCTCCGCTCATTGGCTTCTCTTTACTTACTCAACTCCTCTTTCTCTCATTCTCTCTTTGAACACTTCTATTTCTTAATATTTCCTAATCTCTCCTTAGTAAGTTCATTATTCGAGATTTATTCTTATCCCGTTTACCTTTTCCTCCTCCTTCCAATGCTCTCAATTGAATTTACTCTTTCTTATTCTATCTCCTTATTTGGAGCTTGCACCTAAATGTTTGCAAAGCAACCTAATTTCAACCTCATACGTACTTCTGTTGTCTTGTGTGTCGTCAAGCTAAGAAAAGCCAATGTGAATTCTCCTATCCTTCTTCATATCCCGCCGTTCTTCTTGTTGTCTTTTCATTCTAATTCTCCTCATTTCGTGAAGCAAAGCTCATTCTTTCGTAAGAATGAAAAGCCCTAAGGCATCGTGCGGGAGAGCGAGGTCAGACTATTGGCAAAGGCATTGACGAGAGCGATAGAGAAAGTCCACAACCACTACTACCAGCCCTCGAAGCAGCAGCAGCAGTACCACCGCCACACATACACAGCCGCATCCCCGCAATCGATGTGCTGTGGTTTGTCGGAAGAAGAAAGCTTTTGCTTCTCCTGTCTTCTGCCTTTCCTCTTCTATCAGTTCAATATCACCCATGTACGCATTCTTTGACTATTCTAACTATCTATGTGTTTATCATTCTCCTTCTATCTCTTTCCCTCTCTCTATATTCTTTTATCTCTCTATTATTCATTATAACTCACTCCTCCCTCTCTGTTTATTTCAAAGAAATAGTTTTTACTTCATAACTATGTGTGAAAAATAAAAAAAAACTTTCAAAATATTTCTCTCTCTTATCACATTTCAAACATTTTTTTCTCATTTTTAAAGAGTTGGTGTCAGATTCCGTTTTTTTTGCTCACTTATTCGCCGGAGAGGTTAGTTAGAGCTTACCTCTGATCAACGAAGCTTCTCCCTCTTACTCATATCTCATTTCGCCCATTTCAATAGAAATAAACATTTTGTGAATGAGAAAGAAGAAAAAGAAAAGAAAACTTAAATACAAAAATTGAATTAATGTAAGAAAATTATCAACTTTTTTTCTTCCCAAAAGCGATAACAACAAGAGATTCAAGAGGGGGATAAAAGAAAGAGAAAGAGATAGAGAGAGAGGGAGAGAGAAGTAAGAGAGAGAGAAAAAGAGTGAAAGGAAGGAAGGGAAAGATATTGAACCACGTAAATAACGTTGTTCCGCTCCTCTTCTTCCAACAACTCATCGTCAGACCAACGACGACACACACAATTCACAGAAAAAAAAAACACTCGCTGTTGCCACTTTTCCTTCTCCTTTTACGTCTATTGCCATTCATTTCCATTAGTGTCCAAATGTTCTTTATATTAGCTCAACATACAATAATCACAAAATATCTTCTTATACTTGTGCTTTACCTACTATCATGGTCGACACATCCAATAGAATGGCATCACACATACGTGAATCTACGTCAAACCTATTTTCATTTTGATGCACCCGTTGATGAGTGGAGCGGTTGTGTCTTCCGAAGATATTCATGAATTATATTGTATTTTTATTGAAAAAACTCTTTTTTTTTCGCAGTAAAACGGTTGTGATTTTCTTATTTCAAGCTTTTCCTCTCAATGTATTTCACTGGCTCACTTCAAACTTATTTTTTCCTGACACATTTTAGTGAAAACGGAAGAATAAATAAGTTTTTTTTCTCTTTTCGTGAGAAAAAGACAAATCTCCAAATTAATTTTACATCAGAAAATATAATCTCTCTTTCTCATTCTTCTAATTCTCTCTCTATGTCTCTCTCTCCCTCTCTCTTCCTCTCTACCACCCTCCCTCTCTCTCTCTGTTTCGCCTTCTTAGATCTCTTCTTTAAAGAATTTTGTTTCATTTTCGATGTTTATTTGGCGTTTTTGCTTTGGCAGGCTTCTCCTCCACAACATGATACTAAGCTTCTGATCGTTCGTGTCCATTCCCCTTTTTCATTCGATCAACTTTTGCCTTCATCATCGTTCATTCGTCTTCTTCGGTAATCCCTATGTATTACGACTACACTTAAGACTTAGCTTTGGACGTCCATCTATGACCATTTTCTTTTTCAAGCTTTCCCCCCCCCCTTTTTTGCCTCTTCTGTTACTTTTGGACTTCTTTTTTTTTGTCCACAAAAAAATTGTATTTATCGGAACATTTTGAGCTTTTCTTCAGTTTTCTCTCGTTTCCTTAAGGATTTAGCACTTTCCATGTAGAAGTCACTGAAAGGTCTTTCAGCTTTACTTCTCTTACCTCCCACTCCCTTATTTTCTTGTGTGTTTTTCTGTTCAAAACAACAGTTTCTCCTTTTTCTATTTGAAATTTCCTTTTATTACCTCTGTCTCCCTTCTCTCATACCTCCCCCACCCCTTTATCTCATTGTTTCTCTCTCACACACAATTTATTCTCTTCTATTAACCTTTCTCATTGTTTCAGACCTCTATCATACACTCCCTCTTAACTAATTTTTTCTTCGCAACCTAGTTATCTCTCTAACTTCTACTTCTCTCACTCTAGCTTTCATCTATCGGAGCAATATTTCAAGCAAATCGACAATCTCCGACGGCTCTGGAAGAGCTAAGAAATAGAGAAAAAGAGTCAGAGAGAGAGAAAGAGAAAGAGAGAGCAGATGGCCTACAACTACTAGGCATGTGCTAGTTGTCCATCCTTTCCACCTCTTTTTCTGTTCTTTTCATCTCCTTTCCGTCAGTTTATTTTTCCTTTTTTCTAATTTATTCCAATCTTTTCTATTTCCTTATATGGTTTGTTTCTACGTATTTTTTGTGTTGTCCATCATTTGATGGTGCATTGTTGTTTCTTTCATCCACCCTCAACAATCTTTTCTTCTTTTCAGCTCTTTCTCTTCTCTCCTTTCCCGTTTCATTTTCTTGCCCACTCTATCTTTCCATATTCCCCTTCTTGATGTTCTTACTAGACAAACCTCTTAGTTCACATTTTAAAACTGTTCCATGTGCTTCTCGTTTTTCACTTAAAAGCTCTTCACTTTTATTTTTTTCAAAACAATTTTAAAAGCAAATTGTTTAAGCGAAGCTGTTCGGTTGATGGCCGTGCGAAGCGGCAACGAAGCCGTCCATACTTAAGGTAAGATAAATCCACAAAAAAACAGAAAAAACCAAAAAAATTTTTTTAAGGTTGATGGGGCCGAATGCTCCGAGTAGTGTGTCTACTGATCGCGTGGGGCATCCTGCTCGCGCGTGCAAATCGCGACGCTAATCGGTTATTTGAAGTAATTTTGTTTTATAAAAGAAAATACAATTTATTAAACTATATTGAAGGACCTGTTAGCGGATTATAATAAACTAGTGCGGCCCGTCGACAATAACAGCGATACTCTTGTAGTGAGATTTAAACTTAAACTCAGTCAACTTCTAGACGTGGTATGTTTCCCTCTCTACTCATTTTCAAACATTTTTCCGTTCTCGTTCCAATCCTTTTTTTTCGCAGTCAGCAAACTAATAATAATTTTATCTAAAGCTGCTGCAACTCAAATTCCATAAAATCCAGATGTCCTCGACTACTCCTCCCTCTCCCCCCCTCCCTCCTTCCAACACAACAACTTCACGGATGCACGACGCCTGCACGTGTCAATCATCCGTTCGTCATCATCAGACGTTTGGAATGGCTTAGTTCATTTTCTCCTCTAAATTCTGTGGCTTAGTTTCCAGAGACAACCTGGTTATCTAAGCTATGAGTTGAAAGAGATTCTTTCACTTTCTCTTCTAGCCTCTCCCTTTATATTATCTATTGGAACTGCATTTTATGAGTTGTCGATGACAGAAATTAGAGATCATCATCTTCTTCTTTTTCTGAAAGACCAAAGCCGTCAAAGATATGAGTGAAAGACAATGATTAAATTAGTTGACAGCCCTTTACAATTCCAAAAATATGAAACAAAAAAAGGAAAAAAAAAGAGTTTCAAGTATTCCATTTCAGCACGAGAAGAACCAAATCATGACAACAAACGTCTGGTTACAACATGTGAGTTCTTTGAAAATTGTGTTTTACAGAGAAAAAAAAAGAATTTTTAAAAATTCAATTAAAACCTTTGATAAGTTGAAATTATTTCTTTTATAATATTATATTTTGTTCACAAAAAATAGATATGCGGACAATCATATATCAAACTGCCCTGAGGGCATGATATGTAGCTGTTTAGTATTCCCTGGAGAATATTTCTTTCTATATTCTAATGTTAGAGAGTTCGACTTAAAGCATTCCAAATGTCGTTTTGTCAGTGAAGAAAAGAGAAAAAAAAGAGAAAAAGACGTTCCCATTGACCTCAGCTGAAAGTCATTTGACAACAATTTATCCTTCAAATGGCAAATTGTTTCACAACTTTTCTTTTTTTTCTTTTCAAAGCTTTCATTCAAAAGCTAAGAAAGCCTATATACAACCGTTCTGCTCTCTTTGACAATGATAAAGTGAATGTCTGCAGGAGTTTCACGGAAGTATCACGTTAAATGCAAATTAGGCTAATCGGTGTCGAATTCATCTGCCTCCCATGAGAAAATTACAATTGGCTCTCAGATGTTTCAATTCAGATGTCGTCGCTCGTTACTATTCAAATTGAATGGGTGAGCGGGGGTAACTGCTGGGTCGTTATAGTTCATAGTTCGCAATTTGGTTCAAAAATTGTTTTTTTTGTGGTCCGCTTACGTTCGCCTGATAAGATGAACGACGAACTGAACAAATTTGAAGATGATCGAAGGAAAGAGAGTGAGGAAAAAGCTGAAGAAGCACAGCTGGAATCCGGATGATGAGCAGTTGCATGGAGGAGTTAGGATTGAGTGGTGGGAACGACTAAAAGAGAAAACATGAAATAGAGAAAGAGAGACAGAAAAATGAAGGAAAGAAGTGACGAAAATAAAATTGTCGAACAGACATGAAATTCTATTTGGTTAATAGATTGAACAAGCGGTGAATACAAAGACAATTCTACAGAATATATGTCAAATTATAATAAAAAATGTCTGATTGAAACATCTATACAGAGTTGGACTGATTATAAGCTTCGATGGGATCCAGAAGATTATGGTGGTGTTGATGTTCTATATGTTCCATCCGATACGATATGGTTACCGGACATAGTCTTATATAATAAGTAAGATTACTATTGTTTTTCATTATGCTAATTATATGTTGTTAAAGTGCTGACGGTAATTATCAAGTAACAATTATGACAAAAGCTAAATTATCATATAATGGTACGGTAGAGTGGGCACCACCAGCTATATACAAAAGGTTTGTGTCGTCAATCCAAGAAGGAAGTATGATTTGAAATGTTTTAGTATGTGTCAAATAGATGTTGAATTCTTTCCTTTCGATCTTCAACAATGCGAAATGAAGTTTGGTTCGTCAAACCTTTATGAATAGAAGTTCAAAAAAGCAATTTGTCTTTAAGGTTCATGGACGTACGGAGGTCTCGAAGTCGATCTGATACATAAAGATGAGCATTTACAACGAATTGTTGAAGAAGAAGTTGAAGGGGTTGATGGTCCGATACAGGAATCTGTTTGGATTGTAGACGAAGGTATATTCATTTCCAATAACAATATCCCTAAGCTTATCCATTTCAGGAATTGATTTAAGTGATTACTATCCGAGTGTCGAATGGGATATACTCAAAGTACCTGGCAAAAGACATTCCAAAAGGTTCGTCAAATCTCCTTCTCTACCCATCCTCCCCCTCCTCCCTCATCTCTTTTATTAGTAAACAAGCGAAACAATAATTTTCTTATTTAAATTATTATTTTTTTCATTCCATCACAAATCCATACAAAAGGAATATATTGACAAACTCAATTCTCCGGAGAATATTTTTCTTTTGAACGACAGACTTCGTTCTTTAAATGATTTTTCTTCTTCTTTTTTTTTTCTTTTCTCATTTTGGTGTTCTAGTAAATATAAAAAATAACTTTGAGTCATACAAAAGAGGAAGATGAAGAAGAGAAAGACGAAAAGATAAAGCAAAAACACTTATAAATAACGAGAAAAGAGAGAGAGAGAAGAATAGAGAGATTGGGTAAGAGAGAGAGAGAGAGAGAGGAACAAGGGGACTAACTGAGCAAAAGCATCGGCTTTTCCCTTGGTGGCTTCTTTTCTACAAACTTTTTAAAAGCAATATTTGAAATCTTTTAAATGGCTTACAAGTTTTCTCTTACTCTCTCACAAATTCATCAACTCTCTTCTATACACACAAAAAAATGTCCAAAAAAAGGGACTTTCATCTTCTCTCTTTTTCATTTCTTGTTGTCATTGCAGGTATCCATGTTGCGAGAGTCCATTCATAGACATTACCTATGAAATTCATTTGCGACGAAAAACACTATTTTATACCGTAAATCTCATTTTTCCATCTGTTGGCATCAGGTAAGCCATTTGAACACATTCCTCTCTAACATCTTCTATTTCAGTTTCTTGACGGCACTCGTCTTCTACTTGCCATCAGATGGTGGAGAGAAAATATCGTTATGTATTTCCATTCTCATTTCGCTTACAGTCTTTTTCTTGTTGTTAGGTAAGCATTTCTATCCTAACTCCGTAATCTCATTAATCACCTCTTACAGTCGAGATCATTCCCTCTACTTCGCTCGTCATACCATTAATAGGCAAATATCTTCTTTTTACAATGGTTCTTGTAACATTGAGTGTTGTCGTAACCGTTGTTACTTTGGTAAGAAGAAGCTTTTCATCTCTCACATACACTTTTGACTTCCTCAGAACGTTCACTACCGTTCACCAACAACACATACGATGCCACAATGGATTCGAAAACTATTCATTGACTTCCTTCCTCGATATCTGCTAATGCAGAGACCAACGCCTCCGTCACAAAAGGTTTCTATTTTAGTATCTGTTTTTTAATCTTTTTCTCAATATAGGCGAAATTGGACCAACGTACGGCTGCCTTTTCACTTCCGCCAACAAACAGTTTTGCTTCTCCTCTACTCGATCAGGTTTTCGTTGTTCTTCTAATTCAGTCATTGATGTGTTTCAGAATATGGACTTACTCTCACCCACATATGGCACATCTTTTGCCGGTGCCTCAGGTGAAGAAACATCGTTCATTTCCGGACAGAGGTAGAGTATACATATCGAACTACAAACAAGTTAACTATTCAGGGATGTTTCACCAGTACGTTCTGCTGTTGAAAGTGTAGCATATATAGCAGATCATTTGAAGAATGAAGAAGAAGAGAAACAGGTGAGCAACCTATACACAGAAACACATTTTAACTTTGAAACCATTTGAAGGTTGTGGAGGATTGGAAATACATATCGGTAGTGATGGATAGGATATTTCTCCTTCTTTTCACATGTGCCTGTGCACTTGGGACAGTGGTGATCATCTGTAGAGCTCCGTCTATCTATGACACAACAAAACCTTTAGCTTAAAAAGGGTTTCTCTCTCCCTCTATTTTTCTCGTTGATCATCTTTTGTCTTCCTACTCTCTCTCTCTCTTTCTCGCTATTTGTCTCTGTCTCTTCTTTCTAGAAGCATTTAGGAAGTATTTCTTACGTTCCCCTTTTGCCTGTTTCATAATCTCCTTTTAAAGAGCATTTGTTTTTCTTCTTTCTCTTTTAACATTCTATTAAGGGTATTCCGAGCGGGTCTTCCGGAATCATCTGCCATATATGTATGTTTGTCATTTTTTTTGAAAAAAAATGTCAAATTTCCACTAAGAAATATCCATTTCTTACTGCCTTTAACAGTCTCATCCGGTAAAACAGAAAATTTGAAAAAAAAAAGAGGAAAAGAAGAAAGAAAGTAAAACAGCACTTTTAAAAGAACACAAACTTCACCATCAACCAATCAACCAACCAACCAACCAACCATCAGCCATATTCCGTACTTTTCTCAATTTTTCAATCAAAAAATCAAAATTTTAGTTGACATTATCCTCTTGCTAAGACTTTCTTCATCAAATGATTCTATTGTCAAACAGAAAAGTTTCTTTTTAACAAATTCTACTTCATTCATTCATTTATGGCTTATTCTCAACCACAAATCTCATTTGCTCAATTCGTTTTTTGAATGAAAATTGTCTCGAAAAGCGGATTTGTTTGTTTGTTTGTTTATTATATTTCTTCATCCAAACTTTTCAATTGTATTATTCAAATGTTAGCTTTATTCCAATAATTGTACATTAATATACTAAAAAACATATATTTTCATTCTTATAGACACATAATTATTCCTTTTCTTACTTTCTACCATTCATTTAATTACAAAAATATACAAATTTTTATTATTATAGATCCCGTAGTGAAACTCATATCGCATCCTCTTTTCATTCTCATTATGCTCTCTCGCCCTCCCCACCTTCTCTCTCTCTCTCTCTCTCTCTCTATCCCCCTTCCCTCGCTCCATATTCGTATTTTACCTTCTTATATGCCTATTTTCTCAATACAAAGGATCTTTTCATTATTTTTCTTCTTTCTCTTGTGATCACAAAGATTTAAATATAAATTTTAATCTTTTTATACTTTTATTTCTTATAGTTCATCATCTAGATAGTGAGACAAACAACTCAAGGGTTCAATCCCCGCTGCTGCTACGAATTATTGATAAACTAAGCAACTTTCTACAAAATATTTCAAGAATAAGATAGTATTTCGTTAACAACATCAGTTATACAAGTACAATACTCATTCAGAGTGTACTAACTGGAAGAGGAGGATAGAGAGAGAGAGAGAGAGAGAGAGAGAGTGAGAGAGTGGGCTTCGTTTAGTTCTAAGTTTCTCAATTTACTTCAAGAGCTGCTTGAGTTGATTGAAATTCAACAAGCCAGTAGGTAGATCAATCTGTTGGGAAAAGCTATTAAGCTCATAGTCTTCCAGGAGTAGCTTTCGTGAGGCTGAAGCTTCCGAGCTCTTCCATCTTTTTCTTTACTACTGCTATATCACCTAGTTCTGTGTGGTACTGTTCAACCTACACCACCTATGATGCTGCAGACGATAATACATTCGTCTCTAGGGGCAGGTTCGTGTCTTGGAGATTGTTAAAACTAGAAAAATTAAAATATAAAATATGCCGATTATGAAAAATATTGTTTTATTGTTATTTGTTTTTACGTTTGTTTGTCCTTTTCGTGCCCTCAAGCGTCAAACAGAATTTCATTACGTTGAGACACGTCAAGCAGGGAGAAAGCCGAACTAAGCTGCAATTGTTCAGAAGCTGTCTGGAAGAAGTGAAATAATTTATTGTGAACAATGAATTTGGCACGTCGTTGTTCTCCTCCTTCAAGCAATACGTCAAGTTATTCTTACGCTCTTAGGAAGCTGTTTGGTGGCGAAAAAGAAAGAAGCGACGCCCAATTCCCGTTGGGACCATATATGAGTCGGAGAGGGCGGAGTCTAAAGGGGATGTCATTGAAGTGAAGCTGAAAGTGTCGATCTTTTGCCAAGTCGGCACACGAATACGCACATTTTTAGTGAGAAAATAAAGAGAGAGAGAGTGAGACAGTAAGATAGAGAGGGATAGAGAGAAAGATAAAAAAAAAGTGCTCAAGTAGATAGAGAGAATCAGAGGTTGAGTGTAGGCAAAAAAACGCAAGTTGTGGATTGTAAGCGGCCAATTTTGGAGGAGTAAGGAAAGAGAGAGAGAGAGAGACAGAAAAAAAGCCCCAAAATCAGCTGCATGTGAGATGAAGCTCATTTCACCAATGTTTTTTCGAGTTTTTTTTTAATTTTTCCGTTTGTGTGTTTTCATCGAGGCAGTGGCCAGGAGGCCATTGAACGCCCTATCGAAGAACCATGTTTATAAGGAATTTTCATAAAATTTCCTTATTTTTTTATTTTCTTCTTCTGCCTATTAAATGCTCTGTGAATATGGAGACGATTCTATCATCATCGTCAGCACCAATTATATTCAACGAATCTTCACACGAAGAACGAGGTACGTCTTCTGCCCTCAGGCTATTTCCTTAAATCTTTTTTTTCTTCTTCTTTTGCTGGTAAATATGTGTGAAACGAATGAGATAAACATCGATTTTTCATTTGTTATTCTTTTGTCTATCAAAATAAATTTTTTTTTCTTCCATTTTCATCTCATCGGTTAACCCCTCAAGCTATATAGAGTAAGAGCTGATATTTGAAAGGATTAAATGTGACACTTTGAAGATGCTTTAAAGTCTTTAAAACAAATAATTTACATATATTCACGTGCTTTTTCCCATTTTTTTTTGAATCTTAGCATTTCACGTAAGATGAATTCATTTATTCTCATTCCGTCAAGAAGATGAAGAACGTTCCCGGTTTTTTTCGTAATTTCAAATGTAAATTTATGTAAATCACTTCAATATCTAAAGAAGAGACAATGACAAAACAGCTTTTCTCCCAAAAAAGGCCACAAAAAGCTTTCAGTTGCCAAACATTTTGTGGTTTTTTTTCGCTTTTTCTCTTTTTCTTCTTAGTTCCATATCAGAAAGAGGAGAACGAGATAGAGAGAGAGGGAGTGAGTGAGTGTGGATGAGAACGAAGGGAAGAGATGAATGTTTTCAATAAAGTACTGCCAAAACAGGACATGTGTTTCTTTCTCATCAAAACCACTTTATCAGCTTCTGTGGAACGATTGAACCCGGAAGAACGGCATATAATTCCAGAAGATGTTGGAGAAGATGAAGAAAGACTTCTGATTGATCTATTCCGTGAATACAACAGCTTGATACGTCCAGTTCAGAATGTCACGAGGTAATATTAATTGTTTTTTTTTCTTTTCTGTGATTCACTAAAAGGAAATCTGTTTAAGCCCTCCGGTCATTGTGGATTTTGGAGTTGCAATGATATTATTGATAAATGTGGATGAAAAAAATCAAATTTTGCATACAAACGTTTGGCTGACAATGAAATGGAATGATTTCCAATTACGATGGAATCCCGAAGACTATGGTAAATTGAATTTTTGAAAACATTCCTTATTCCCTCTCTCTCTCTCTCTGTTTTTTGTTGAGAGAGAGAGAGAGAGAGAGAAGAAAAAATAAAAGAAAATTGTATTAACTTGTAATGTTTCAGGAAATATTTCAACGATTCATGTACCATCTGATAGAGTTTGGCTGCCTGACATCGTTTTATTCAATAAGTATGTTGTTTTACTTTAAAAGTTGCAGCACGTGACCATTCTCTTATTGTTAAGATTTTTGGCAAAAGGAATTGAGTAGAAGATGAAAGAGAAGGGAGTGCGAGATAGAAGAAGAAGAATTGAAAGAGGAAGAGAGTGGTGGGTAGGGAGGAAGCTTTTGCCGACAAAATTGGATATACTGCTTGTGTGACGATGTGCGATTTGAAGACAAAAGATGTCAGAATTTCAATGGAGAATGCCAGAGAAAAATGTCCGAAAGATAGTAACATATGGAGGAAGAAATGTCCAAAGATTTGATTGTATTATAGAGAAGAAAGTCGTTGGGCTTTCTCTCTCAATTAGGACAAATTTTTATTTTTATATCAAAGGGATTTTCCATATGCTAATTAGCTTCGCCTCTATCCATACATTTCATTAAGCTTTTGCGCAGGCTTTTTAAAACGTCATCTAAGCTTAATTTACATATAGGAAGTTCATTTGTGAATAACTTAATCATGATGAACGGTTGATTATGTTGTTTAAAGTGAGGGGGGGGAGGAAGGGATGTTTCATATAAATAGAAAGAGAAAAACAATTTTTCGTCTCTTTCAGTGCTGACGGCAATTATGAAGTTTCATTCAAATCAAATGCTTTTGTGGATCATCACGGTGATGTTATCTGGGTACCTCCAGCCATGTTCAAGAGCAGTTGTCGGATTGATGTAGAATGGTAAAGCATTCCTTTATACTTGATTATTTTAAATTTAACGTAATAAAGGTTTCCATTTGATGAACAGAGCTGTACATTGGTTTTCGGATCATGGACATACAACTCCGATGAAGTTTGTTTAATTCTAATTAATCTCATATAATTCACTTTTGAAGGTTCTTCTGAATTGGTATAACAACATTCAAGCTGTTCAACTGACTGATTATCAGTTCAGTGGAATTTGGGATGTGATAGGTTTGTATATTCTTGTAGTTTCCCTCAAAAGGCTTGTGTTGTTCAAGATGTGCCTGGATACCTTGTGACCAAAAGAGATGCAAAGGAAAGCCGAATCGTATTTAACCTTGTCATTAGGAGGTTTTTCTTCTTCTTTTTTTCCTCTCTCAATGATCTCTTACCTTTTAGAAAAACCTTGTTCTATACCGTAATTCTCATAATTCCCACCGTTTTAATGGCATTTTTATCCATGATGGCCTTCTATCTTCCAGCTGATTCAGGAGAGAAGATTTCATTGACAATTAGCTTATTATTGGCTTTGGTTGTGTTTCTTCTTCTCGTTTCAAAGGTTTTCCTTTCAATTTATTTGAATAATCAAGTTCAACATGATCATTCTCAGATTCTACCACCGACATCTAACATTCCCTTGATGGGAAAATATTTATTATTAGCCTTCGTCTTAAATATAATAACTGTTGTTGTAAGTTCTTCATATATTCCTTAATAATACTAATTATGCTATTCAGGTTACTGTGATTATTGTAAATGTTTATTTCCGATCAGCTTTATCACATGAGATGCCAAATTGGGTTCGACAGATATTCTTAGAATTTCTTCCAAGGTTTCTCATGATGAAGCGTCCCGAACGAATTCCCATCTTCAACGGCTATTTCGTAGAAGAGTATTGTGCAGCTGAAATCATAGATGCGAGTAAGTTTCTGATGAAGATTGTCATGTCTCAATCAAATTTCTCAAATAATATTTTATTCTTTATGAAAATATAAATAAAAAAACCAAAACAATCAGGTAGTTGCGATGATACTGAGCGTACTGAAACAGATACAGACTTTGAAAGTGGAGAACCAAGTACAAATCCTTTTATTATTATTATTTATTATTTATTTTAATTTCACATTTTCATACTAACTATAGTTAACTATGCACTTGAGGTGTTTACTCACATACATTTGAATTTTGGTTTCTGTGTGTCTCACCATTACACGTGTTCCACTTTAACAAACTCTTCTCCCATCTCTCATCAATTCTTTAATTTTAATTTTTGTTTTTTCAGGCTTGGTTATGCCGTCAATGACAGCAACCATAGTGCCGTTTCTTCAAATGACACAAACCAAAATAGAACGAAATCCTCAAGAACATCACGAAAATTGTTCAAAATGGAAGAAGAAGTTAAGTCGGAAGTTTTCGAGGAAAAAGAAAAATGAGGTAGTTCTTAGTGTATTTTGATTTGAATAACACATAACTACGCATACAGGAGCCTATAGCTGAAGCAACATGTATGGAAGCAATTCAAGAAGGACCACGTACGGAGCAAGAAAGAATAAGTCGAGAAGTGAGATCACTTACGCATTGGTTTTAATCCTTTCCCTAATTAAGATGAAAACAACAGTTGAATCAATAGCTTATATAGCGGAACATATGAAAACTCAAATGAGCCGGAAAAAAGTTTTTTTACTTTTCGAAACAATCTTACATCAGATGATATTCAGATAAGAGATGATTGGAAATACGTAGCTATGGTTATAGATCGTCTTCTCTTATTAGTTTTTTTCGGAATTACTTTAGGTTTCCTTATCTTGATTCTTTTATATTTTTTATATTTTTCCATGTTTACAGGAGGAACTGTTGGAATCATACTCTCTGCTCCACATGTTTTTGATTTTGTTGACCAAGAGCAGATAATTAAAAAATTAAATTCGAAATATCTCAATATTACGGATTGATTCGAATAAAAAACGTGTATTTGATTTTAATAAAATGTATTTTTCATAATCGGCATCAAACAAACTAAAATATCTCAGATTAGATCTTAACTTACTTTTCAGCTTTTCTCTTATTCATACTTCAAAGTACCGATGGTTCACCGGATGAGCATCGATTAACAGCAAATCTCTTTTATGGTTATAATTCACTCGTAAGACCTGTCGAGAATGCATCTTCTCCAGCGATTCAGGTATTTCACATCTTTCTCCAATTAGATCAACTGTACTGCGTTGTTTAAGGTTTCATTCAGTTTAGCTTTAGTTCTTCTTATCAACATTGACGAAAAAAATCAAATTATGCATACGAACGTCTGGCCAACAATGGTTTGATATTATATTTTTTAAAAAAAGAGAAATATTGGTCTCCATGAAGCGATGGACGGATTATCAAATGAAATGGGATCCCCGAGATTACGGAGGAATTCGGACAATACGTGTTCCTCCCGAGAAAGTTTGGCTTCCTGACATCGTCTTGTTCAATAAGTCTTTTCCAATCTATTTATAATTCATAACGAATATCCATGTAGTGCTGACGGAAACTATCTTGTGAGTTTCTACTCCAATGTTGTAGTAGAACATACTGGGGAAATGCTTTGGGTTCCGCCTGCTGTTTACAAGAGCAGTTGCATAATTGATGTTGAATTTTTTCCTTTTGATGGTTTATTTCTTATCCTCCCATAAAAAGAATTTCATATCATCTCAGAACAAGTATGCAGTTTGACTTTCGGTTCATGGACATTCAAACATGACGAAGTCCAGATTTCGCACTTGGAAGGAAAACGTCAAGTATTTCGTTGCATTTAGTGAAACCTCAATGTAGAACATCTTAGGTTGAACTAAATGATTATTCGCCCAGTGGAATCTGGGATGTGATTGAAGTTCCTGGACATTTACGGGAGACGAGGTCTAAAATATCTTATCAAATTCGTATTCGGAGGTATAATTTGAGCAAACTACAGTGATCATATCTATGAATTAAAGAAAAACGCTGTTCTATACCGTAATTCTGATTATGCCAACTGTATTGATGGCATTTCTCTCAATGTCAGTATTCTACCTCCCATGTGAAGCAAGTGAAAAAATAACTTTGGCTATAAGCATACTGTTAGCTTTAGTTGTATTCCTTCTTCTTGTGTCAAAGGTCTTTTTCCCCATAGATCGCATAGTACTGTCAAATGTGACTTCTGCTTCAGATTCTACCTCCTACATCATCTACAATTCCATTAATGGCTAAATACTTGTTATTGACTTTTGTAATGAACATGATAACTATTATGGTACAAGTCCAAACCGGATACAACTACTTCATTTTCATTTAAGGTCACAGTCGTCATAATTAACCTCTATTTTCGTGGCCCAGCAACACACACTATGCAGCCATGGGTTAGAACGATTTTCTTGAAGGTAGCACTGATAATGCCTGCACAGTAGAGAGACACTTATTGAAATAAAAATTTAAGTATTTGCCACTTCTGTTGGTTATGAAACGTCCGGCTTCTTCGCAAGCTTCATCCTTCCACCGCTCGAAAGATAACTGCAATCAATCCAATTACGGTTCTATGCAGAAAACTCTACCAATCGTTCAAGTACGGCCACCTGATGATGATAAGCCGAAATTGGTATCAAAAACAACAAATTCAATGCCCTCAATACATTAATTCTATTTTCAGGTAGATGATACGAAACCAAAATTGAATCAAACGGTACTATTCAGTATTTTGAAAACAAAAATCCTAACTGAAATAATATATTTGATAGAATGAGGAAAATCGTAAGCTTAGCTCAAGCAATAGTGTCAAAGAAGAAACGTTATCGGATAATGCCAAAAAAGCCATTGAAGCCATTGAGTACATTACTCAACATTTGACGCATGATAATAACGATAAAAAGGTTTCGTAAGCTTTTCATCCCCTGTTACACTTTCCTTTTGCAGCAAAAAGATGAATGGAAGTTCGTTTCAATGGTAGTTGATCGTCTTTTACTTTACATTTTCTTTGCTGGTAAACATCTACGAATTCTTATCTTTTTTGTCTGAAACGAAAAAAAAGTAATTGAGAGAAGAAGAAAGAAATCAAATGAAACAACCATTGAAAGCGTCTTTTAGATTTCAAAATACTTGTTTCACGTATGTGATGACGTGTCCACGTAACCAATTATCATAAATGCGTCATCATGCATTAGAACACAACATATGCATGATAACAACTGTTTCCTTTCTCAAATTAAATAAGATTCAATTCAGATTCACATGTACAAAACATGTACTTCCTTATATACAGCTACTAACTATGTTTATTAATTAGCTTTCAGTGACCGCCACAGGAACGATGGGAATATTGTTTTCAGCTCCGAACGTATTTGAGTATGTCGATCAAACAACAATCATTGAAAACTTGAAGAAAGCAGCAAAAGCTGAACAAGACTTCGAGCTTCCCACCTTTTAGTATTTTATCGTTCAAATATTTTCGAGTGATAAACTTTCTTAATTATAACGTTATAATTAACTGATTGAAGTTTTTTCATAATCTGTATTCCTTATCTCTCTCATTTATAATCTCGCTCGTTTGTAAATTTTTGATGAATAAAATATGAAAATTGTATTTATTAAACCTTATTCTTAACTATGCCCTGACATTTCTTCTTCTCTGCCATATCAACATAGCATAATCATGTTATTTCAGTGCTTTTTTCCACCAAAAAAATGAGTTTCGTTGTTGAGGGCGTTGAGGAAAAGCTTGTCAACACCAAGGTTTTGAGATTATTTTTTGTCTTTTTACCGAAAATCTGTTGATTGTTATAGTATGCGGATGCATTTGATATCTGTGGACAAGCAATGAGAGAAGCTCTTGACCTCATCCGTTCGGAAGGTTAATTAGCTATATCATATAAGTTTTTTATTATTTGTTTAGGCTATGAAGATAGAACTGGATGGACGTTAGATACAAAAAACGACGAATCTTCTGTCTTCTATAAAGACATCGATGGTCTCAGATATTTCACTGTTCGAGTATATTTTTTATATGATAATATCCAGAATTGATGTTGAACAATTGAAGACAAAACTGACGATATCCCCTGAAGATGGACATCGATATAACTGGGTGAATGTGGAGAAGATGTGTGAATGGAATAGTAATGTCAAATATAGTGAGAAAATTGATGAGCTATCCGAGAACACTGACATAATTCATGTAATTCATTGTAATCCCTTGTCTTATCATGATACTTGATGACTTTAAGTACGGAAGTAATAGTGTATTGATGGTCAGTGGCCGACAATTCCTTTGTGGACGAATGAGAAGAATAACTGATGGAAACTACATGATATCCGCTAAATCGCTGTCAGTAGACTCTGTTCCGAATGCGAAGGATGCTGTAAGGTACTTATACGAACCTTTACTTTAATTTGAAAGCAAAAAAAACACAACAAAAGACGCCATAAAAGGAATGTTCGCTATTCGAAGTGCTGACAGGTCGAAAGCGAAAAAAAAAGGATAATTCTCCCAGTCCAATTTACGCAAGAAGGCAGGTTACAAGGATTAAAAAAAATTCAACGCATATCTCTTTCTGTCTGTGGTACTGATCGCTGGTCATCAAATGAATTTACCATTAATCTCGCAGATCATTGTTTTAAAGGGAAACAAAAAATTTTAACTCAATATAATTTATAATTATATAAATTGAATAATAGGGCACAACTTCATTTGGCATTTGGTCGTTTCCGAGAAGACCCACAAAATCCCTCTGGTTCTATTTATGATTACACCCTATGTGCCGATTTGCGTGGCATGATGCCACAGAGATTAGTAAATCAGGTTAGAAAGTTATACAATTCAATAATAAAAATATCATAAAAACCATTATTGAATAAAAAAAAATGAATTGCAGGTTATGGGAAAACTGCTGCTTTCGGATATGGAAAATACAAAAGCTCATTTCATTCGATATTCCAGTGCAAAGAATATCTAAAACAAATAAATGTGAAGTATATGAGTATTGAGTTATCTAAATAAACGTTTCTAATTCACTTATGCTTTCACATAATAATTTCTTGATTTTATACCAGTTATTCAACAATAACGAATACATTTTTATATGTTAATAAGATGCTTCTAATCCATCAATTACTTTAAAATCAACGAACTATGAATAATTAACTTATTTTAAATATTAAAACAAGCTACTCATAATTATACACTTAATGGTCCTGCTACCTACATACCGTAACCTCAGTTAGAAAATGCATCCTGTTACCTCATTTGCATTTATGCTTCATTTTCAAGCGTGAACGCGTGAAGAGCGGTTGAACGCAAATGAACTGACGAATCTTAACGAAAAGGATGCTGAACTTTCAACTCGGATTGAACTCTCTAATTGAAAACATACAGAGGTACGTCTTTTCCCGAAATTGCGTTCAGTTGTCATTTCTTCTTACTCCTGTTGTTTATTTTATGACGACCATAGCTTCACGTTTTACCGACTTTGTAATTTAATCCCCGTTATGAGGTGAGATAGCGGAGAGAATCCTCAATCAAAGGATAAATAACCGTCCAGTCTTATGCCACACCTCTTTGTTTGTGTTAGCAGCCAAGACCTCTATTCTGCCACCTGCCATTGACAGTTTTGAACTTTTGCGAACACTGTTTCTCTCTCTCTCAAAAAAAAAAATCGATTTTTTTGTTATGTAATGTTACGCCCATCTTTCTTACTTATGGTTGATATTGCTGCGTATTATATTATAAGTATTTTTTATTAGCACATTTTCACGTTCAATATATTTTCCTTGTTTAATTTATTGGCGATAATGTTTCTGTTCCCTCTTCACCTAGATCCTTTTTATCTTATTTCCTTGATCTCATCTTAGATCTTCCGATTCCTCGCTCTCCCTGCGAACAGTCGTCCTTTTATTTACCGTACAGATTGGCTTTGGGTGACTGCATTTGTTGGCCTCCTTTTATATGAACTTACTTTTCCTCTATCTGTTCGGCCAATCGAAAGTTTTATAATCATTATTTGGCGGTTTATTAGCAACGATGATTTGTGTATTATTTTATTGAAAACCACAATATGTATAAGTAGGCAGTGATTATAGCTTAGTGATCTTATGGCGGCTTATACATGCCTGCCCTTGGCTTCATCTTCTTGATATGTGTTGTCGTGTGTCTTCCGTCTAAATCCGGCCTAGATTCATTTCCATAATTATGGTAGAACCCAATTATTATTCTAAGTTGGATTCGCAGTTTTTCCCTTCATTTTCATCTTTTTCGTATATATTAACCGACGTGATGCTGCATGTACAGCTTTTACGGATACATTTTCGTATCCCCTAAGCTTTTATAACAAGAAAACTGAATAAGCAGCCATGCGATTGTATAAATTCAGGGGTTTCTCACGTTGAATGTTTCTTATTGTGCATCTGAGTTAGGAAAGCTCCAGTACCTTTATAAGCCAGCTTTTGGTAATCAAAAGTTTGTGTATCATGTTTCTGCTTGCTTATAAACGTTGAGACAATCTTTTAGGTTAAGAACTTGGGTCTTCCCTCTTATTTGCCTCCGAAAGGTCAAGATCATCTCATCTCCCACACCGCCTATTCCATATTAACTTATACCTTTTGCAATTAGTTTTTGTTATCCGTAGATGAATCGACAGCTTTAGAAGTTTCTCTCTTCCTAAATACACGTTTTATTGTTCATTGCTAGTAGTTTTTCCTGAATCTCTAGATGTTTTATAGAGACCATTTGATTATCTTTCTGTTTTTTACCATCATGTCTCTTCGTATAACTGTTACAACTAGACTACTGTGACTTATACAGCAGTTAGAAAGTCAAAACATTTGATTTCAATGCGTGGGCATGACGGCTTCCAATTCTTGTTGCTCCATTCAGCTTCTATTTGCCGAACTCAGAGCGAGGTTTGGAGTGTCAACCATGCGCCAGTCTTTATTTTCTTGTCTCGATTACGCCTTGAAGTGATCCAATGAACGAAGACCGGATCATAAGGGTTGAGAAAGATGCAACCTTAGCGGCAACAAGCCAGAACTCACCTCCGTCTAAACTTGAATTCTTTTGAATGGAAAATTGATTGCCATATTTTCTGTTTTACAAAATTCTTTTTTACCATTTTAGTACTTGGCCGTCCTGTTCTCTCTAAGATCAGCCAATCGATGGCCAAACAAAGAGAGGATTATATGAACATGTACAACTGAAATTTGCATGTGACTCTCTGTCCGATGGTTTTATATTTTTCAATTGATTTTGTAATGTTTTAGTAGAGTAGACCTACGTGATTGTGTTTTCGATCGTCCTTGGCATTACGCTCACTTGAATGGTTTAGTGCTGTGCCTACCTCGGTCCGTTCTTACAAATGGCTGGCCCACTAACTTTATCGAAACTGCGACAGTGACTTGCCTGCTGTCGACTAGTTTGTCTTTCGCCTTTTTTTGCTTACCCTCTTTCTCGCTGCTGTACCGCACTTTATATTATATGGTAGGAAGTTTTAATTTTTGAATCACATCATCGATTTGTTCATGTTTGAAGACATCTTGCATTTACAACATCTTTTTTCGAAGAATAGCTTTGATATAGCATTGATTTAAACACTGAATGTCTTTGTTTTTCTTGTACACATCCGCTAACATCTGTGAATGGACCATATAACGAGTCGTTGTCTTTTAGCAATCATACTACTATTTGGCCTTTGAAGTGTAGGCTTCGCTATAGCTTCATTTAGCCTTTAAGCTCTAAAATATATCGTTTATTTTGAAAGCTTTCTCCCTTTTTTCTTCCCAGATTCAGAGGTGATTCTTTATTCTTAGCACATCAAAATAAATTAATCCAATCTTTGCGAGTTATTTTTAACTAATTAGCCATTCTTAAGCAGAGGTGTCGCTTATTTTTTTGATCTGTTCTTCATATGCACTCCAAAACTGGTTTATCTTGACAGATTAGGATAGGTTAGGCCATTATCACAGCATGTCTGTCGCAGACATCCGTTTTGGAACTCCTATCTTCTAATTACTCTGTCATCCGAAAGCTCGCAGCTCCACCGTGTTTGTTTTTAATTCGGAAATTACTTTCCCCTCGATGAAATGATTAATAAATAACATCTTCTGCTTTCACTTATTAGACTCTATGACCTTGTTTCAGTATATTACTCTCAATCTCTAGTTATTTTTTTTGTTTTACTCTCTGACTGTTGCTTTTTCTTCGCATTTGAGCAGTTTTCTCTTTTAATCGATTTGGATGTTGCGGGATTCATAAATTGTTTCCACCAGACAAAACACAGAACTTAGCTTTAGATTCCATTAACCAAGTCATTGCAAATGGTTTCTAGCTAATGTGTTGTGGTGTTTCCACAGAGAGCTTGTTCAACTTCTTAGATCCGCCATCAGAACGTGTTTCCGTATTTCCGTTCTCAATTTATCCTTTATCTATTAGGGTGCGGAGTTTCATTAAATCGACTCAAAATGATGTGAGTTTTGTGGTGCCAGGGCTTATTTTTCTCCTTTTCTTCGCTCTGATTACTTTTGATCTGTAGGGCCGGAAATATCATGGCATACTAGACCAATGAAGCTTTTATGGTGTGACATCGGTTGTATGTCTCATCATTCTTCCTATTTCCACTGTTGAAGACGGATATTGCCTTTTCTGGTCTCAATTCTCTCAAATATTGCGCATTTACTTACGCTTAGGATGACACTTGGTGCTTGCAATTAGTTTTCCTTCTATCACATCACCACTCCGTTTTCTCAGAATTATCTTTCTCTCAAACTTTCTTCCACATTCGGGATGAATTTGTACTTTTTATATTTCTCTTTTTCAGACAGAAGAATCAATACTCCTTTACATTGCCAATGGTGATGTTCGACCAAGTAACGGTCGCCAGTAATGAAAGTAGCAGTTGGGATCATGAAGAAATGGTAAGTTAAAATTTCCTTGATTTATATCGTGATTGTCTTTCTACATTTTTTCGTGTATTTTTGGATTATCTTAACTTTTGTTAGTTTAATAGAACATGTTTCTCTTCAGCGGCCACTTGTTAACAAGTCTTTGCTTAAGTCTCTTCAAGAGGTTTTCCTCTTTGGATTCTTACTTTTATACATTGGCGCTGTTAAGATTTTACAGTTCTTTACGGGCATACGCTTTTTTTGGGGGGAAAAATAGAGTATAGGCTTACTTGGGAGTTCAACTAGATTAGCTTAAGCAGATGTGACTTCATTTGGTCATCACTGACTAATTTTCCAGTTCTCGACAGGTTTTCCTAACAAGATCTCTAAGAATTGTCTTCCAGACCATATTTGCAGATAAATACTTGTGTATAAGACTTTGCATGCTATGATAACTGCAAATCAGCACATTTAACTAATATCTTCAAATTAACAATCTGCTACTCCTTAGTCAGTCATCGACTTAGTATTTGTTTCTTCTTTAGATTCTCACTCTCTCACCCTCTCTTCTTAATGAATCGGGATAATGCTTAGAAGATGAGATTGACTTAAGCTCGCGTTATTCCTATCTATACCGTAAAACCTACAAAGGTTATCTGCTTTGGCTGTCAACTTATCTAATTTTTCAAATATGATCGTCGCAACAATCAGCAACTCACCGCTGTAGTTTTTCTGTCACACTGTTTCATTTTCCCCATAAATCTTCTACCTGCCCATCTATCCAGTCTGTTTTCTTCTTCTTATGCAATTGCATTTATATATTATTTAATGTTTCTAGCTTCACCATATTCCTGATGTGCTATTTGCACTCAAGATATATGGCTTTCATAAGACGATTTCAACGGATTTCGAAACTGTTATATGATATAGGATTAATAAGTTCTGTATAAGATATTCTTTACTAACTGATTTTGTGCCCCTTGGACATTCTATCTGACTGACAGCAGCACTTTAGCTTGAGGGTGGTGCGGCGAGTAGTTGCTTAAGCAGTGCTAGGTCAACACGACGACTCTTGTACACCACCTATGTAAAACATTCGGTACCTCTCTCATTCCTCTTATTTCCCTTCTTCTTCTTCTTTATCTTCTTCTTCTTCTTCTTCTTCTTCTTCTTATTCTTATTTCGAAGCATAGCAGTAGCTAGAAAGCACACCAGACGCATTGTTTATACGCTGTGATTCGAGTCTTGTGGCCCCGTCTTTCACCTTTCGCTAGCTTGTTTTAGTTGTCATTTAGAAATTCACATTAATTCCTCTTAGTATGGGCATACCTGTGTCTGATGTTTTTTGAGTTGTCCTTTTACGCCTTCGTAATGAACTAATACCTTATTGCGCTCGACTTTCTTTATGTATTCAATTAAAGTACGTAAAGTTCAAAAATCTCATTTCTTTTAATGCATATGATTACGTTCCTTCTTCTTTATGATTTCTCAAGTCTTTCCTACTACGTTCGCCTATTGAGTTCTCACAGCTGCTCCAACTGCAAGTGTCAACATGTCGCGTTTTAAACACTTTCTTTGATGCAACTGAGGTGAGACTCCTCTTTCCTCATTACACAACTTGGAGTTTGGTTTTACGAGGTGTAGACGATCAGCCATGAATATGAAAATATTCTTGCTTAGATTGAGTTTACTAACAGAATCCTCAAATGATTGGGGTGAAGGCCACGTAGATTACATCGGTACAGCCACGTCTTCCTCTTGCTTCTTATCCGAATTATAATCTTTCCGTCTTCACAGTCATCGCTTTTTCCTAGTGGACGAGAGCATCCTGGGATCCCTCTACGAGTCTTGTAGACAATTTTTCCTTTTAAGTAAGCGTTTGTTTATAAGTTTGTACAGTTCTATGCGCCAATTATCCTTTGTCATATGGCCTGTGTTAAGAACGAGAAGAAGATTCTTTCTATATCCCTGGATAGTCAGTTCTTATAGCTCTTCTTCTTTTGTGTGATATCTTTCTCTATCTGGTCGCCTCGAACGGTGCTGTCTCGTTTTGCGCATCTTCTGACTGAAGCGAAGCGAAGACTACCCGATTGCCGACTACCCACCATCCAAATACTTTTCTGTTTGACTGGCTTCTCCACAATTTCCCTCTTATGCCTATGCGAAATCCTCTTTGTACCGCGATAGTCTTGATCGATCACTCTTAGAAAGTTACAACTCCTTTCTCCTGCTGGGTCTTGTTTTCCACCTATTTCATTCATTTTTGTTGAAGAAACCTTCCCCGTAATATCAGTTTTCTCTTATTTTCATCTATATACATCATTGGCATTCATCGAATTAGAAAATGACCGATGTGGTTGTAATGATTGACCTTTCTTCGATAACGAATTTTTGCCTTTTCCTATCGCGCGGATTCCTTTCCACTTAATGAAGTGTCATTTTATTACAAACTCTATAAGCTTTTGTCGCAGCTAAAACGATGAAATAATCAGTTTTCGAATCTGAACAATGAGATATTTATTAGGACAGTCGTCCCGATATATCCCAGCAACTAATAGCTCGTAGCAAATTAAGTTTAACCTTTTTCCAGACAATGATTAGCTTGCATCTTCACCATTAAATGTCGTTATTGTTGTCAAAGTTGTTTATTTTTATTCATAACTTGTGTGTGCTTGTGCTAACCGGGCGTTTTCAGAAGACAGTAAACCGAAGCTGTCGTGCGTCGCTGACACCGCCCGCTACTAACGAGGGACTCGTCATGACGGCATCTGGCACTGATCACGTAGCTGCAGCAATTCACAACACTAACGGTACCGAAACCTACTACTACTTTTCTTTTTTTTCGCTTCTTTTACTCACGAGATGACTCACCTTCATAGAGAATCCTTCTTACTAATTTATAGATCTACGAGAAAGAATGAAGTGGGCAACACAGTTTTAAATTTAGTTGCGGTAGTATTTTACCTTAAAAGAGATGAATAGCCTCCCTTGTTTTCCTCTTAGTGAAGTGGTCACCTTGTTTTAACTGATTGTCGTCGTTGTCGTCCTTGGTTGCCTCTTGTCTCAAATCTGGCCGCCCAAAATTGATAGTGTCGTTGCGATTATATCAAGGTTCGCGTAAATTGGGAAAAGGCGTTAGAATAAGGTTGGGAGATACGTCTGTTATCCCAGGAGAAAGCATGGGAGACAGGGAGATGAGTTATTAACCGGAAAGTGCGAGTGTAAAGGTAAGAAAGAAAGAGAATGGAAGAAAGTACATAGGGTATTTCTGAACCAAACGAAGCGAGAGAGAAAGTTGTGGAAGAAGAAGCTTTTCTCCCGTAAGAATGAGCAACTGCTCTTACACGTTGATGATATCTTCTGTGTGTATGAGCTAATCTCTTGAGAATGAGAGCGGCAGAATGTTCAGGCAACAGCGGCATCAACAGGAGACGCAAGTTGTGATATTGAGAGGAAAAGAAGACATAGGGTGGAGGACTGTTGTCTTTCGAGCACGTTGTAATGCAGGGCAGAGCATCTCTAGATCTATAGGTTCTTCTGTTCTGTCTGTCGAATAGGTCAATTTGGTTGGCGGGTGCACAATCGCTCGATAACTTTTTTCTCCACGACGACTATTTCATTCGCTTTTTGCTCAAAAGCAACTTCAACGACAACAGTTCGAGAGGCCAATGTCTGAAGATTCCTGCGCTTCTTCCACTGTCCTCCCTACGGGTAGTACCTTGCAAGCATTTTGCTCGGGAGTCTCGTCTTCTAGCAGCACTCCCGTGGTTTCCTCTATAGTCTCCGAACAAAGTTTCATTAGACCTGGTATGATCTCAGTCCATTTTTTCTTTGAGGTGTCCTGTCCAACAGAGAAAGTATTATCATATATTATCATGTATTTCATTCACTATCATCAAATTATTCCTGTTTTAATAGTAATTTGTTTGTTTTTAGTAACCAATGGAGCGAATGCTCAGCAGTATACCGTTGAATACTTATCACAATTGCTCAAGGATAAAAAGCAACTGGCTGCTTTTCCAAATGTTTTTCATCACTTGGAAAGATTAGCAGATGAAGGTAGGGTATTTGGTTTTACAATTCATTAACCGTTCTGTTATGCTCAGAAATTAGCAAAGTAAGAATAGCTCTTTTCCAATTTGAGTTCACCAAAGAACAAATGATGTTGCCTGATCCCGATGGTGAAGTCCAAGTTATAACAGAAAAAGTTTTCGTCCCTGCTAAGGAACATCCAGATGTCAGTTATTTTTTTTGTTAAACAGCCTCACCATATTTCTTCAGTATAATTTTGTTGGGAGAATATTAGGCCCACGTGGTATGACAGCAAAGCAGTTGGAACAGGAGACGGGTTGTAAAATTATGGTTCGTGGCCGTGGATCGATGAGGGATAAAAAGAAGGTGGGACTGAATAGTTGTTTTTTTTATTCACTCATAATCTTACAGGAAGAATTAAACAGAGGGAAGCCTAACTGGGAACATCTTTCTGAGGAATTACATGTACTCATCCAATGTGAAGATACTCCTAACCGTGCTCGGGTCAAACTAGCACGAGCTGTTGACGAAGTTAAAAAACTGCTTGTTCCTGCTGTAATGTTTCTCTTGTAATTAATCATTTAACTTTCTAAAATTCTAGCCCGAAGGTGAAGATGAACTTAAGCGAAAACAGCTGATGGAGTTGGCTATTATTAATGGAACATACAGATCAGCCAATGAACAAGCAGCGGCTGCAGCTGCCCAATTAGCTGCTAAACAGCCTAACACTTTGGCTGCTGCTTTACGTACGTGTTTCTTGTTTTTTTTTACATATGAGTGATTTTAGAAGCTGCTGCGTTAGCTCAAGCTAGAGGAGTTACAATGCTGAGCGGCACACAATCATTAGCTCGTTCTCCAACCCTTTCCGTTGCCGGAGCACCAATTGTCATGAGTCCCGGAAGAGGACAGAATTCAACAGCAAACACAACTCAGCAGATGATTCAACTTCAATCACAATTAGGAGCTGCTGCAGTTGCTCAAAGCAGTGCCGCTGTTGCTGCGCAACAAGCAGCTCTTCTCCAGCAACAACAGGCGGCCGAGTATCAACAACTATTGTTAAGGTTTGTCTGTTATTTTACGAGCAATCTGAAAAATGATTTTGTAGTCAGGGAATTTCTTTCGATGCCTTAACAGGAGCAGCAGTCCAATACCAGCCGCAGACAGCGGCCTACAATGCTGCGCTCCTGAATCAACAGTATGCTGAATACGCGGGTGTGGATTTAACTTCGGCTCAAACTACTCCTGGTGGGTATCGCCTACGAAAATGGGCGTGAACTCTTTAAATTATTTTTATGTAGAAAAACGTAGTTTTGGAACTTCTGATTCTCTTGAAACATTCTTTATCTAATGATCTACATTCCTAATTTATATTATTACGGTGGTCACATTCTTCATTTGAACATTCCTTGAACATTCACATAGATCTCATACCTCTGTATGTCGTTCCGTGACTGTCTAAGATGAAACTGTGCTTTGACCTTTTCTAGTAACACAGACTCATCTTATTCCATTTTTGGTAAAATCAGTTAATTGATCACTTACTGATCCGCATGAATATGGCATATAAGCTATTTTGCTTCTTATTAACGAGCACTTTCGATTTTTTGAGCGCATAAAAACAGCAAAAAATGTCTAATCTGGTATTAATCATAAAACATAACGAATCCTTATATGATTTTGGGGAATCGTAACCTCTTCTACATGTTCCTAACATAGCTAACGTTTAGGTGCCATGATTAACCAACGTCGTGTATTGGGAACGTCCAGAGAACATCCTTACAAGCCCTAAATGGCCACGAGTTCTTGGATGGAATCACACACTCTCCAAACAATCTAGTTCGACCTCGGTTCGTTTTACTATATCAGCTGTGATTATGATAGGTTATCACCCAAGTTGTTACGTTTAGTTTTTTTTATTCAATTTCGGGTGTAGCCATCATCCTCATGATCAGATTAGTATTTGTCCTGTGTTTTTACTTCATTTGCTACTCAGTACTGACTTACTAGGGTATCGTATGATCCCCAAACTCGTCAAGTGTCCTCAGAATATCAATTGTGCCTTACGTTGCTACAGTGTCTTTTTTACTTATTTTCACATGCTTATTAGCATGATTATAACTTTTTTCTAATAATGCAGGTGTTTCTTCAACATCATCATCTTCAAAGTTCTGGTGCATAGATTAAGAGATTTTTATCAAAGTTTATGTCATAAATATGCATAATGTGCTCACCTTGTTGCATGAAAGAGTTTTGTTTCCTTAAGTTTTCAATTTTGCCATATTGTCACTTCTTTGTAATTATGTTTTCTATATTAAAGAAATTCGCATTTCATAAAATATTTATCTAAAACCTCTATTCAAAAAAAAAACAAAAAAGTAACGGTAAGAACCATCATGTATCCGTATCGAAAATTTCTAAATATTCTTTGAGTTCTTCGAAGAACAAACTACGCAACACACAAAACCAATAAACAATCATATCGTTAACTTGCAAGGAATTTAAATGATTTAAGCGACATACACTATATGTACTCATAAAGGTGTGGGAATCACAAAAGGTTAGTAGAAACAAGCGCGTATTTACATTTGGCAACCGGGTGTGAATGTTTCAGAAGGAAGCTAGCGAATGATTAGAAAAATAAAACTATGTGAATATAATAAGTTTTCTCCGAAATTATTATCCGCTTAAATGCCGTAAACACGTCATATACAAACTAGATTGGCAGATTACTATCACAGAAATTCTTCAGAATGAGATAAGTCAATGAAAAATAGTTAATGAGATTTCAAAGGTGAAAAATGCAAATAGTTAAACTTTCTTCTTACGTTTTTCGATTTTATTATTACTCAATGCTATGTTTGAAATCGCATTTTCGAGACGCAGTTCAGCCTTAAAATGTGTCTTTGAAAATTGTTATTGGCTTTTAAATAACCTGTCTCTTTAAATGCTGTTCTCCTTTTGCTGAATCGGATCTTGATACTCGACCACTAGCGCTATTGCATCCCCGCTCACTGACCAAGAACGGCTAAAACAAAAAAAGTAAGAAAAGAATCTTTGAAAAATCAAACCGTGAAATCTCGGATCAAAGGTTTGACCTCTGGAAAATCTTGAAATACGTATGGTTGTGTATTTATAGGGAATCTGTGACGAATCGGAATTTTCTCAAAAGATCTCTGCTGACGATCAATTTGATATTCACAGAGGAAAACATCTTCTTCCTGCAAAAAGAAGATTTTGAACGTATGAATGCTTCAAGCTCACTTTGAACATAGGGAACAGCGGACGTCCTTTACAAAAGACATCTGGATCTAACACGATACAGCGACCGACTACGGAATCCAAAGGCAACGTGTCATAGAAACGAGTTGCGAATATCTGAAAAGTAAATGAGTATGGAATGAATGATGGAAATAAAAACCTCGTTTCTATGAAAAATTCTGTTTGGATCGCAAATAGTTTCATGAGGTCTTGCATAGTAGAAACCAAAAACAAAGCGATGGCCAGTCGGCGCAACAAAAAGCCGTTCAACACGGAAAGCTCTCAAATTCTGGAATATATACTTATAGATCACACTCGAATGTGTCCAAAGAACCTTTCTGTCGTAGAGCTTATGAGCGATAACTTCATTACTAGGTGGAGGGAAACCACGATACTCTTCTCCAACCACATCTTTCTTCTTGTTTTTCCCAACATTCTCTACTAATAGTTTCAAGAGCTTTTTATGTTGATCGCCAGTCGTCTTCTCAACAAATACAGATTCATTGAGCCGAACTTGAATGTTTCTATTGTTATTTAAAGCCTGAAATAAAAGATTAGAGAAGTATAGTACATGTAACTAACTTTGTAATATTCACATCCAATGAATCTGATCTCAGGCTGCTTAGCAAGTATGACATCAGTGGAGGGAATATCTTTAATTGCACCAGAACAGAATTTACATTGGAAATCCTTAAATAATACGCTATTACTTTGATGAAGAAAGAAAACGTACGCTGCTATCATCGACTGTTTCCAGACAATCAGTGTGTAACCAGAAATGGCACTCATCGCATTGCATCATTTGACCATCCTCTTCCAAAGATCCACAGACACATCGAACAGCATCATCTCCTTCTCGAGCATGTCCAGTGGGCCAAGCACTATCTGGATCGTAACTGCCAACCTTAAGCACGCGAATAATGAAAGAATGTCAAACTATATCAAACCGGCTCTCCGACATCCAAATATGCCAAGTTTACATCACGATTTTTCGATTTACCAAGTCCTCCTTTCTTTTCTCTAGAATCAGAAGCCAAGGAAGATGAGAGATAATGATTTGATAATGCTCTTAATGAGAAAGTTAAAGCTGAAGAAAGATCTAGAAATTACTGGAAAACACGATCATAGTCATCATCGTTCAGTCTTTCGAGCCAACGATCCATTATATAGTTGAAAGTGTCAATGATGTTATCTTTAGTTCTTCCTAGGCGGATGTCTTTCAAAAACCGTCTGAGAGCACCATACTCTCTCAAAGCCTTATAAGGCAGAGATCCATCTATTCTTCTTACTCTTAAATGAACTTATTCAGCAACAAGTAGAGATGATTGAACAAACCTTAGTTCTAATCCTTCCACCACCTTTCTAAGTTTTTCATACAAACTTTCAGGAACAACTGACGAAAGAGGCAAAACTGAGAGAAAAAATCATATAAGTTGTATGTTCATAATACTCACGTCTTCTCTTGGCACAGCGAATAGTACTTGAACGATTGCGAATCAAGAAAATATTGTGTTTCTTGATTTCTTGTTTCTCGGTACCAGAAACATCAGATGTTGCAGCAAGAACCTGAAGCATTAAAACCGTAACTATCAATGAAGAGAATAACAAACCGAATTTCTTGAACGCTTAATAATGCCTGTACAATTGGAAGAGCCACAGGAACATTCTTGTTCAAAAGGAAGAAGCCCATTCATGTCGACAGTTATTTCAGAACCTGTAGCTATGTCAAACAAGGAAAAGAGACCAGCTCTTCTTCTTCCACTGATAGACCTTAAAAGTTGAATTATATACCAATATTACTGTTTAAAACATACCAAACTTCTAGTCTACAGTTAGGTCTACAAGAATGTCTTACATGACGTATAATATTCCCTTTTTTGGTAGCATCAATGTATAACGTGGCAGACAAGGAAATAACACATGGTTTAACATCATCAGAACGATACGTTGATATTCGTCTCAAAACTTCCTCGTAACTTATAACTTCGCCGGCAAACTCCCCCTAAATAACAAGTAAGACTCATCTTCAAAAGAATAACAAACCAAGAAATCTCCTGCTCTTTTTGCTTGGCGAGTCTTCAAGACGCGTTTATTACGCACAGTTGCTAATATTAAATGTCTTGCAATATCCTCACGCCAGAATTTCTTAAATATCAATCCCTCAGTAAATGAAAAAAAATCAGAGATCACACCTTATTCACACAAAGTGATGCTTTACAAGTTTGTGGACATTGCACACAAAGAGCTCGGTTAACACATTCTGCATCTGAGGTACAAGCTCCCCTCGAACAACCACATTGAACTATGGGAGAATTCCAAGGAAGTTGTGTGAAACAGAAGCCTATAAAAATTGAATTTCACCAAGAACTGACGCAATCACTAACTCTTCTTAATATCATCATTACTGCTTTCCGACCTACGGTCCAAGAAGCTGAAATCATCGACGTAGGACGGTACATCTTCACTTCTTCTCTTAGAAGTTGTCCTTGTTGGGAGTTTACTAAAATATAGTCATCTTGCAAAAAGAGAAAACACTTTTTTCTTACTTATTGTTCTTGATTTCCTTGGGTGTTGAAATCTCCGTATGAGTCGATATTGTTTTCCTCCTTTTCTGTTTGACAGGCACATCTTCCTTCTTAGGTCGAGTAGAGAGACTGTTTCTTCTTTTTCTTTCACTTTTCTCCTTCTTCTCTCCCTCTTTCAAACGTTTGCGAACAGCATCCCAATTAACTTCGAAAGGCTTTTTAGCTTCTGCTGATGATCTTTTCATATTTCTCTCCGTGATAGAAAGATTGCCAACAGAACCACGCACATTTTCCAGAAGTTTATTCAACTGAAAAAAAGACTTGAACTTTTACTCTGTTAGTCATAAAATACCTGATTTCTCAAATGCTTTCGAACTGCCTCACGATAAATTCTTTTCGACTCCTCTGGGGACGTGACATCAGGAAGTGTTTCTTTCTTCGGAACGTCCAAGAAAGTAGTATCGACTCTTGAAAGTTGGGGAGGATCGTTTTTCGAGTTAACTTTAAGCTCAGCTCCTTCGTCGCTCGCTGCACTGCGAGATCGACTTCTTTGCATAACTTCCTACATATAGAAAATGATAAAAAAATTAATAATAAAACTAACTTTGTCATCTTCTGAGGGTTTGCGATTCTGCGTTTTCAAACTAATTAAGCGAGCAATAGCGTGGGCTTTTTCTGGATCTAACTGGAAAAGCTGCTCAACAATTTCTTTGGAGTCCATTGTATTTGTTATAGAAATTGCAGAAGGCAGGGTCGAATCACATTCGGTTTCATTCAAATCTTCTTTGATACCACTACAAAATATATTTGAAACTGATAAATAAATATGAATGTAACATACCTTGGACCAGGCACACACTCCTCATCTTCATCAGCTGCAACGAGATGAGGCATATCAGCATAATCTTCCTCATCCGGTATTTCTTCACATAATGAGGAGCATGGCTCTATCTGAAAGGTCGGGGCGTATAATTGTTTTTTGCAACCTTTAGCTTTACATTTGGAGGAGAAAGTGTATGAGGTCCTGGAGGTGAATTTGGAATAGATTGAATTCCGGAATCAGGAGTGGTGGAAGAATCGCTAACAGTAGATCCGTGCCACTGCCGCGATAACCGGCTGTTACCTCTACCATCTCCCTGGAAAAAATATGCTGGTTAAAAAATCAGAAAATTAAGTTACGACCTGGTTACGAAAATGACCGTTGTTGCTAGTCATGGAGCATAAAGTGGGTGCAGGAGACATTGAAGATGAAGAATCGGCTATTGGAGATGTTGAACTTACAGAAGTGCTTCGATTCTGAACAAAGAGGTTCAAAAAACCAAACTGAGCTACATACACTTACCGGCCCAATTACATGGTGAGGTAAATGAGGCCCTCCAGTCGTTGATGTTGCTGCTTGCACATTTGAACCTGATAGATTGATGAATAAGTCATAAGATGAGTTTAAAAAAAATACCTTGGGAGGAAGACGGCTCAGTGCACAAAGTAGGTTCGCCACTAGAGGAAGATACTCTAACTTGCACATTCGCCGGTACCAGCAGCTGAAATTACATAAATTAAAACTGGAAACATGATTATAACAACTAACCTTAGGTGCGTGCTCTCCACTAACGGTTATTGGAGCCCCTGATTTATAAACTCCTTGAATCTTAAGAGGTTGGGGCGGTGGATTCCCATTTTGCTAAAAGAGGAAACGAATTTGAATAAATAAAGTAAATAAAGCGGAATACCTGAGCTCCAGGAGGTGCCGGTCGGATTAGTAGCCCTAAGTACTCTGTTTCTGCCGGTCCCTGGACCGACCGAAACATACAGGGAACTGCTTCAAAACTCATTGTTCACGACATTATGTTAGTAAAATTCTGTAAAATTAATGCTATATATGACCTGTTTTCATAGAATTATCAGAAATATCAAGAGTGTCAAGAGATACAGGGCAAATAAAAGGAGTGACAACAGTAATCGAGCGGTACTTATGGAAAGATAATGGTAATGTCAATAAGAAAGGCATGAATATAATAGTATTCAGTATGGTAACGACAGTCAAAGAAACTGATAAGCCATGGATGTAGTTATCACATATAATGAATAAGAAAATTTAATTAACAAACACTTTTTCGCATCTGCAAAAGAGCTGCGACTGTTTGTTGTCAAGCACTGTTAGATTAAAAATTAATATTTAAGGATAAAAATGGAAGATATGATCAGAACAATTTATATTAAGCTCTTAGATCAAAAAATTAAAAAACATATTGACACAATGCTTGAGCATTAACAATCAGATTGAGAAAGATGGGTATATAATAACGATTAGCGCTCACGCGGAGACAACGCGTCGCGGTCGCGTTGCGGTTTAGCAGCCGACAGGTTGACTGCGATTCACACACAAAGCGAAGCATCTAGCATACACACATACAGATGTAGTTGACGGAGAGAAAGAAAGATAGGGGCAGAGACTATGCGATGATGATAGAGAAATAAAGAAAAAAAACAAAAAAAAAGAAACCGAAGAGTGTGGAACGATGGAATTGAGAAAGAGACAGAGGATGATTGCGAACAGACGAACAAACACGCACGGGAAGACTGACGAATTACATGAGGTTGTGTTTCTCAGTGAATGTTAACAACTTAAATTTGGTAATTGTCGTGGACAGGTTGTGATAACTTTTTTTTCGCTTCTCAGCTTCATCCAAACAAAATAAAGGTTTCAATTATAGAGGGATGAGAGATTGATTACTCCTGCTCAAACATAACACCTTTTTAGGAAGAACGCAGTTTCGTTCTCGGTTTTTTTCCCATATTTTTGTCTTTCTGGCTGCAACAAATCATAAAAAAAGGGCAATGCCGATGTGACTATGACAGTCGGAGTGTGGTTGTCCTTGTGTGAGAAAGTGAGGAAGATGTAAGAATCTCGTGAATCATCAAATAGTACATCAGGAGTTACAAAATAGGTCGTTCGGTAATCTCGATAAAAGTCTGTATTGAATCACCAAGAACAAGAAGAGAGAATAGAGCAGTCTCCGACTCAAAAAAAAACGGAAAGAACGAGGTAAGTAAAAACGAACGACAAAATCGGGGATAGAAAAGTTGAGCCATTTGACGACCTCGTGGGTTTCGTTCATCTTGTTTCGTCCGTGTATGTGCGGTAGTTTCGCTGTGTAACCCTTTCTGGCCGGTCTTGTTTCTTACTCTTCTAATACGGCCCATATAAGGAAGAAGAAGAAGATGAGAAGAAACAGAGGTTAAATCGACAGACCCCGCCGAATGTACAGATAGGTCAACGAGAAACCATACCGAGGCGAATTATGAGCTGAACGACACACGTTTCTCAATAGATAATCTTCTTGTCTTTCCTGTGAAGGAACAAAAAACTAAATTAAAAGCGTTGAATCAGAAGATATGTGATGAACAGGCAATGTTTTGGTTGAACAAATGTGAAAAGTTGAATGAAAACTTATTCCAATTACGAAATTTTCAAATCTTCTCGTTTGTCTCGTGATCGTTAAGTTAGCACATGATACATATAAATGAGGAAAAGATGACAAACTTTTCTGAACTTTCACTTTTCTTCAAAGTATATCTGAGTGACATTGGGATGTATTAACTCGACTAGGAACGTTTCAAACTACAAAAGTAGTCCCACTATATCCTCGCACATAATGGACAAACCAGATGATAGCTAATTATGACTTTTTGCTCTCTTTGCTCCTAGTCTATCTCGACGCCTCTCTTTCTCTATCTTCTCTCCGTTCTCCTTTTTCTATTCTCATCTTAATTTTCCAGCCCTATCATACTCCGATTCCTATGTGTCACAACTCTCATTCAAATACTTTTTATACTTGTTGCTCTTACTCTCTAACGTTCTTTTCAACTCTTTTCCTCTCAAATTTCTCCCCAGTCCTTCGTCTGCCTCGCTCGATTACTGACATTCTTTTCATTCTGAAAATCTTTTTTTTCCATATTAAAAGGCTCAACTACTAGCTAGGATTCCTCTAGCTTGTAGAATTGAAAATGAAGCAGCAACTGCCTTTCAGGGCAAAGCTTAAATGCTCCGAATACTTTCCGCTTATAGCCAAATGAGCAAGAGGAATGAGCTAAACTAAATAACAAAAGAAGAAGTTTTAACTGAAATGAAATAACAAAAGTTTGTTATCTATGGAGAATCTGCGGTGTTTGTCCTTTTCCTTGTTTAACATCACCGATGAGATGGAGAAACATTTTTTTTTAATTTTTAACAAAGTTCCACAGATGGAATTAGTTTGAAATTAGTTAAATTAGTTTGGATAACTTGTTGAAATTAATTAAATTATTTAACTAATTCCTTCCAGAATATTTTCTCGAACTCTTATTATCTCCTTTTCTATTCATTCTGCCAGCATCATGTTCTCTCCCATCTAACTCTTCCGCTCCTTTTTTCTTTCTCTCTTTCATAAACATGCTCCCTGTTTCCTTTTTTTGCCTATTTTCCTATTCGTTTGAAATGTTATATACGAAAGTCCGGCTAATAGATTGTTCAATAAAGCTAAATCTTAAATCTTATTATAGCTTCACATCGATGTTCATTTTCTTGAATGAAGAATACAAAGAGACGTACAAGCTTTGAAATTTTTTGCTTTGAAACTCATGAACGAAGTTGTGATGTTCCAGCTTGAAAAATCAAACGCAATAAGTAAATAATTCTCATTTTCTATCTTTTTCAAAATTTTTGATTAATTATGCATTTAATGACCAAGCATTTTTCTGAGATGTTGACATGACAAATTGCAGCCTTGCACATGCTCACGAACCTTTTCTTCCTGATTTTAGGCTTTCTTGTTATATGACTACTCTTTCTCTCTCTCTCTCCTTCTTACATATCATACAGTTCTGTTAGCGTACATGAAATCATAAGCTATCAGGATAATCAATACCTACGTTTTTCGAAGACTCAAGGGATAAAAACAATAGAAACGTTTTCAACCAGGAAAAAACGAAAAAAGGAGAAAAGAATGTAAAGTTTGCGAAAAACTTAAATAACAAAAGCAATTTTCATGAAGCTAAGAAGTAACGACTCAAGTTTTAAATGTAAACTAAAAATGTAAAAGTGCAAACAGTAGTGATAAAGGTAAAAGATACATGGTCAGATTTTTGCGTACGTGGTACGAGTAAGAAGTTTGAAAATATGTAAGATTGTGCCTTTGAGTATACGGATCGGATAAGGTACATGAATAATCGGAAGTTTATAGCAACAAATGGTACAATATGTGAGTTAATTATATGAACAAAAGTGAAACTAGAGAGCCATTTATGGAATGTCTATTGATGCACATTAGTAAGTGTAATCAATTGGAAGGATAATCGGTAAGACATGAAACTACAAGAAGTTGGGAGCAAATCGATAAAGAAGAGAAAAAAAATAATTAAAATTTAGCTGTAGAAGTATATATTTTGACGTTATTCATTGTTAAAACCAAAATGAATGAAGTAAATTGAATAGTTAGCGGAAGTAGAGCGAAAAGAGAAAAATCTGGAGATAGACTTTGAGAGATAATGTGAACTATGGAGAGCTGAGAATGAAATCAGAAATAAAAAAAGCAAATGGAAGAGAGAGGGTAGGAAAAGAATAAAAATAAAATAGAATGATGAGCTTTATTCATAACAACTAAAAACAAAGAAAGAGGACGAATTCACAGAGAGATGGAGATGCAATAGAAATCTTTTAATAAACATCGCAAAATGTGATTTATATTTTGAAATTATAATTTTCTTCCAAGAAGATTACTTGATCTTGTAGTTTGAGTGCGATAATTGGTCTTGCAAAGAGCAAAGGATGCAAAAGGGCCAAGAGAAGAGACAATTAATACATATCGCATACCTATCCCACAAAGGAAACTGAACTCTCAATCTCTCTGCTCTTTCCACAGCCCTCTCTCCCTCTCTCTCTTCTTCCTCTCTTGTACACAAACTAATTTATTAACTCTTCAAAGTTAATTTGCATGAAATTGAAATCAGATCGAAACTTCTACTTTAAACAAACTCTTTGTTTTTCTTTTATTTTAAGCTTCTTAATATTTTATGACGAAGATTATGGCTATGTGCTTACCAAATAAAAAGATAAAAAATGGGAAAAAGGGGGGAAAGAAGAGAGATTGTGTAATTCGATGAGAGAGCAAGAAATGAGCACTGGAAAGGGTTTGGATGTATAAATAGAAGTTCAGAATTTCCAAATTATATTGAATTTAAAAATCTACTCATGATCCATGGACATTTCCAAGAAATCCTTAAAAAACATAAAAAAAATTTTGAAATAACAGATTTCGAAGAAATGATTCTCAGAGGAATGAACTACAGAGGTAGTCTTTTGTGAGTAAACGGGAAAGAACAATTCGAAAACAACTTTCATCAAACACCCTTGTTTGGTGGACGATTTTATCCGTGTGAACAAAGTTTTTTTTCCCATTTCATTCTCAAATCTATTAAACCATATCATATTAAAGGAATTGAAAGAGCTGACTTTTAAGCTTAAATTGGCTTTTGTTAATTTTTGATGCTCTTCCTCTCTCTTCCTCTCCCTCTTTCTTTCTCTCTCTCTATCTCCCTCTCTCTGTTCACAGGGTATCGCATGTGCAGAAGCTTTTCAATGTTTTATATTAGATTCTTTTGTCATTTTTGTCATACTTTATTCACAATAAAGAAATGAAGGACAAAGAGGAGAGCTTAAAAGAGTAGGAGAGAGGAATGAGAAAAGAGCAAAAGAAGGAGGAGTGGGAGCCAAGAGGTGACGAAGGTTTCAATTAGACGGGCGATAGAGTGGAAGAACTTTTTGATAGGAATCATCATTATCCATGTGCAATTGCTGTGGATGAGATGAGAAACGAAGAAGGAAAAGAAGAAGAAGCAGACTTTGGCCACGTCAACAATATATAATGAATGCTTTTGCCGAAATCAATAAGCAACAAGGGTCCGAAAGAGCTAAAAAGGGGCAAAACTGACTCATTGCCATTCTGGAAAGTCTTTTCTCCTTATTCAGACTGTCATTAATTTCTTCGAATCTTTGAACAATTAGTTTTTCAAATTAGCAATTATATGAGAAGCTTAAATGTTATACTTGGAAAGAACAACTGAACGTCATGGTACAAGAAGGATTCCCAAGCCTCTGTCATGATAAGATGAGATAACACATAATATCATTATCGAATAGTTTATGAGAACATAATGCTACTGAGGCGTACTAACGTTCAGCATTCTCAGAAACGAATAGCAAGAAGTAAAACTAAAAATTCTGAGTAATTATTCATCGTTTTGCGGACTTAATTAAAATATAAAATTGTTTAGGAAATTCCTTATTAAACCTTCCGATGAAATGGCCTCATAGAGTCATCTTATCTTCCAAAATACATCAGAAGAAGGAAATTTTATTTTCTTTAGATCTTTTTTTGAAGAGATACTATATGTTAATACAAATTGCAACATATAGATGTGTACTATCGTATATCAGTTGTGTTGCTAAATGTGAGCTTGGCAATGCTTATTAACTATCATCTAAATAATGACATTTAGATAATTATTATTTTTCCAATCCTAATTAAATCAGTGAAAAGTTTGTGAAACAGAAGGGATAGAATGAAGTTCATGAAAGTAAATGCTGAAACTCATCGACTGAATTATGTAGATGAAAGGGTATATGCGAGATGTGAGGAGCGGGAGAGAAAAAAAAGAATGTTCCCGTTTATATCTTCAATAAATATTATATAAATCTTATTACTCATATTCAACTCGACTACATTTCTTTTTCTGTCAAATGTTATCTACGAAAATGACGACATGCAAGAAACAAAATTGAAAACAAGCTGAATAAGATAGAGAAATAGCATCAGAAATCGCGAAAAAAAGCTCAAGTAGAGAGAATATACTATTTGAATGAAAACATCTTCCAAACAGCGTATTGTGGATAACGTATGTGAGTAGTAACAACATTATTTGAATTAAAATACGTGATTCAAAGATCATAGGTGAATATCACGTGAATTAACACGTGAACGTTCACGTGATTCATAGTTCGCACTCCCGCCTAATCATGTGGATGAACTGTTATTGTGATACATTTTCAATTGTGTAGACACGACGAACGGTTGCTTGTATTCAAAATATTTGGAATGTATGAGAAGCTCAACGATAAATATTTCTGAGACGGCCGAAAGAAAGGCGAGGAAAAACTATGAAAGCTGAGCGTTTTTTTTTGTCGATTGTATGTACACGAGTATCAAACATCATACCAGATCATGTTATCTGCTATGCATGATGTTAAAAATGAGAAAAAATATCGAATAGCATATATTATTATAATTATATAATAATATAAGTACGTAAATTGTCTGTAAAGAGTTTGTCGATATGGGGAATAAAATGTTTTTATAGAGCAGTTGAATGAAAAACAAAATGAATAACAGGCCAGGATGCTAAAGACACAGACAAGCAAAGCCAGTAGGCAAAAGCAAAGCAGACACCCGAAAGAGGAGAAACAGACGTTTAGAACGACTTCATCCATGACGATAACGAATAAAACTACTCAAGACATACACGGAAAGACATGGAGAGGATGAAAGAAAGAAAAAAAATAAAATAAAAGACAAGTATTCTAATGTGCTCAACAACTCGGCCAGGAATAGCTGCAGCTAACCTAAAGAACAATTGAAACTCGAAAATAAGACAAAAAAGAAACCTTTAGGTTTAATAGAGCAATTGCTTGTTAAAATAGCTTAATTAAATTAATAAAACGCAGCTAGCAGCTTATGAGTCATCTCGTCGTTTTGCCGAAAAAAAACGAAAATCATTCGAAACCTACATGTTTAATCAATAGAAATACGAGAAAAATGGGGAAATTTCAGTCTAAAAGAGCGTTTCATCGCATTTTTTAAACTTTTTTCTTCATTTCGGATACTTCATTCAAGAGAAGTTTCGTGAATCTTCTCAATAACTTTGTGACAATGATGTCATATAACAACTTCAGTATGATAATCGCAAAAAATAAAGGAAAGAAAGGCTAATAAGAGTCATGAAATTTTGGAACAGAAAAATAAAGACGAAATAGGCAATGCTCTTGAGAATGTTTGATCGTTAAAGGGAGAGACAATGTGGATATTAAACCGCATCGAAGCCTTTTGCTGCAGAAGACTGAAAAAGCAAATGCAACGAATGCCTTAACCTTCTACAGCTCTACTGCTTCTAATGGAGACACTTTTCGACTATGCTCTACATCATCCTGCTAACGTCATTTCTTTATCTTGTCATTAATTAATCATCGCTAATTATAAAATTTATTACATATGAAACGATATCACTTCATTAAGAACCCTTGGGTGAGAAAAAAAAATTTGCATAGAACTTTCTAGACATTCTCTAGGCAGCTTATTAAAATACTGACGTCATGTGGTAGAACTTCTTTAAGGTTAATTTATATGGCATTAATTCTAGCTTCTTGAGCATCCATCTCAGCACGAATTGGAGCTGGGAGATCGGGTCCAACCTTCAAATAATTTTTTCTTGTATACATTGCATATCGATGTCTCACCTGGGTTTCCAAGAACTTTCTAACTTCGACAGCGTCATCCTTCCAGTAATCCCCTGGAACGGACATGAGTTCGTCCCAGTTGAAGTGGTCAAGGTTTTCGGTATTGATGGATCCCTTCTTAGGAACAATACCAACAGCAGTCTCCTCTCCAATGGACAGATCACCGTCCAGACGACGGATAATCCAATCAATGACGCGGATGTTGTCTCCGAATCCGGGCCAGAGGAACTGAATCATTTAACTATTACTTGAATTACACTTTTTTTGGTTTACCTTGTTCTCAGCGTCACGACGGAACCAGTTGACGTGGTAAATCTTTGGCATCTTAACTCATACATAAGTAAATAGGAAAAAATTAAAATATGAACCTTTCTATTGTCTTGCTTGAGGTCAAGCCAGTGTTGGAGGTAGTGACCGAAATTGTAACCCATGAATGGACGCATAGCCATAGGATCATGCATAACATCCTTACCTGTATATATTTAATGAAAATATTTCTCTATTTTCTCAACTAACCCTTGTGCTCAGCAGCAGCAGTAGCCTCAGATTTAAGACAAGCTCCAGCGAAAACTCCATGTTCCCAAGAGCGGGTTTCGAAAACAAGGGGTACTCCCTTTGGACGACGACCTCCGAAGATGATCGCCTTAACATATACTTATTAAAAACATATATTCATTTGCAGAACCTCAATTGGAACTCCCTTGGGGCTTTCCCAATCTGGATGGATAATTGGGCATTGGTTGGCTGGAGCAGCGAAACGAGAGTTAGGGTGAGCAGCAACACCTGCATCTCCGATCTTCCACTTCTCTCCGAGCCAGTTGATCATCTCGACGTTCTAGAACAAGACAAACTCTCCACATACATTTATCTGTAACCCACCTTGTCTGGAATTTCATCCTCGAGTCCTTCCCAGAAGTATTCACCGTTAACGGTCTCGGCAACATTGGTGAAGATTGAGTTCTTTTGGAAAGTAGCAACGGCCATAGGGTTAGTCTTATTGGAAGTTCCTGGAGCAACTCCGAAGAAACCGGCTTCGGGATTGATGGCGTATAAACGACCATCTTCACCGAACTTCATCCAAGCAATATCATCTCCTGTATAATTATTCAGTGAAAATTCAGGTATAACAGACTTACCAACACATCGGACCTTGTATCCAGGAAGGGTAGGCTGAAGCATAGCAAGATTGGTCTTACCGCAAGCTGATGGGAAAGCAGCAGCAATGAAGTGTTCCTAAATTATACTAATTTTTTCTTCGAAACAAACGCAATAGCAAACCTTTCCACATGGTCTTGTTACTCCCATGATAAGCATATGCTCTGCCATCCATCCTTCATCCTTGGCGATGTTTGAGGCGATTCTGAGGGCAAAGCACTTCTTTCCTATAGAAATTCAACATTCATTTTGCCAGAAAAGCTCCCTCTTACCAAGAAGAGAGTTTCCTCCATATCCGGAACCGAAGGACCAGATTTCACGCTCAGCAGGACGATGAGCGATAAGGACACGCTCAGGATTGCATGGCCAGTGATTGACAACGCGTTCTGAAAGACAAAACTTCATCTTAATCTGAAAATGAGTCCGAGTATTTACGTTTAACTGGACGAGGAAGTCCAACGGAGTGAATACAACGGACAAAGTTGTTATCTCCGAGAGCATCCCAAACTTCATGGCTAACACGGGTCATAACACGCATGGAGAGAACGACGTAGTTGGAATCTGTGAGCTGTAAACTTGGAAAGTAAGAAAAAACAAACTTGCAAACTTACTTGAATTCCGATTTTGGACAGTGGTCCACCAACTGGACCCATGGAGAATGGGATAACATACATAATACGACCTAAAATAGCCAAATTAAGAGATTACTTTGATCATCAGTATGAGCTTCCAACCTTAATAACATCTCCCAAAAATATAATTTTCCCTCTTTCATTTATTGAGCTTTTCTTTACCCTCCGCTATTTGAACCATTCCTCCTTCAAGAGTAACAAATGCCCAAAGACAACACTTTCTATTGAAAGTTTCTCTTTTCCTGTTTAGTTCTTCATTACGAAAAGAAAAGACGGATAGAATCACCAGAGAGCGCGTTCACTGACAGAGAGTAAGACAAATTGCAAAGATTTTTTTTCAAAACAGCACGTGGAAAGAAGATACCACTGCGAGAGAGTAAAATTATTTGTGGGCAAAGTTAAACAACTTGATCGCTTCGGCAATTCTCTCTTACACTCTTTCCGCTCACCCATTGCTAAGACATTTCTACGCCAAACATTAATCCCTTTATGCCATATAGATTGATATACTTACCGGCCATACATCCAGGGAAGCGAGAGTCCAATTCAGTGCTCAAATCCTCTGGTCCCATCCAGTGACCCATGATAGGATCAACTCCTTCTGGAGTACGGGTAACAGTTTGATGCTTATCAGGAGTAACCATCCATGTCTTGGATTCTACACGAGCAACATCCTTAACAACATCATCAATTACTTGATCTAAGATGTTAGGAGTGTTACTTTTGGATCAGTACGGCAAATGTAGTTGTTCTCATAAGCCTTAAGTGGAGAAAGCATTCCACGTTCGACAAGCTTGTCAACGATCTCATCAGCTTCATGTTGGGTACCATCGCAAATGTAGATTCCTGGATAAAAAATAAGAATAATGTGATTCATAACTATTCCAAACCGCGTGGTCTCATCAATTCAGCCTTCTCGGCTACGAATCTTTGAACTTTCAAAGGAAGCAAGTGGAAATCTCCCTATAAATAAAGAAAATCAAAATCCAAATCCTCTCATTACACCTTCATCCATGATGGAGCTTTGAATTTTGACCAAAACCTCAAAGTCAACCGCTCGATAAGCATTGCAAATGGAAATGAATCGAAACATGGACTTCACTCTCGAATCACGTTTTTCACGTATTTTAAAGAATCAAAACAAGCTACCAACGTATTAACCAAACAAACAAAAACTTCTTTCGAACTTTCATTTACTATCCCTTTATCATCAATGCCTTACTAAAAATAGCTACAACTCGTCCATTGTTTTCTTATCAAAAGGTCATAATTTGTTTTAGCCCCATAAGAGTTCACACCAACAGTTCCCAAATCAAAAAACTTTTCATAAATTTTTGCAAATCTCTCAGTTGAATCTGCTGCGAAACATTTTCTACCCTAGCATCACTCATTCTCTCGTTCAAACCGAAAGTTGAAATTCTCACGTGGACAACCCTTTTTCAAAGAAACTTGTTGTAACAATCATTAAAATAAGGACGCAAGAGCCCAAAAAATCAAGATCGTTTCGTGATGCATGCCATAACGCCAACAAACAAAAATATTTTGATTCACATTGCCAAAACCAAAAGCCTATACTTGTAATGTCAATATGATCACTCATGCACAACAATAAAAATAATAATAATATCCCAATAAAAGCTTTTCTCCTTATCTATCTTACATACAAACCGATTCCCAAGCTTTCAAGTACTTCACCGCTTTGCCTATGCGCGCATGATCTTTCCTCTTCGCATCTATTCTCCTTTTTCTTTTTTGTCAAACAAACAATTTCAGATTCAATCTTTCTTTTTAAAGACTACTAGCTCTCATTTGACTAAAGGGAATAGGCCCACTTTGAGAATTTCTCTAAATGGCTTCAATCCATTCATCGGGTTATTTAATTTTCTTCATATTTCTCACATAGCCACTGCCCTTATGATGTCAAACATCGGTTGATCTCTTAGCGTAGAAACTGATAAACAACATAAACCTGTCATATGGAAGCGAGCTCTAACCCCACCAAAATCTATAAAGGTCATTACAACAACAGTTGAGGAGTAGGCTTTCATCAAAAACGCCGGAGCAAACCTTTCGTTCTTCACACACACACATTTCCCCTCTTCTTCTTTTTCTCTCCCAACCAACATCCCATCGATTTGGTGCATTGGAAACCCCGTGCAAAATGTTGAAAGAAAAAATGGCTCAATCATTCGAAACATGTTAAGTAGCTCACGCTATTTTTTTAAAATTCAAAGACTAACCTTGTGAATTGGGACATGTCCAAGGCGCTTGGTTACCACTTCGTTGACAACATAGAAAGCATCCTCAGAGATTTGTCTGAGAGATGATTGTCCAGTGTTCTGAAAAATAAAATAAATAATGTGATAAACATAGATAAGGTATGCGCCTGCAAATCGATAGAGTAGCTAAGCCGACGTTGCGACCGTCTAATAAAATATTAAGGAAACGTGAAAAACTGAAAAGTAATCAATAACTCTTACCTTAAAAGGTGTAAGAAGATTTGGATCAACAGACATTGCGTTACCCTCGAGAAGGAATAGAAGCTGCAATGAATGTTATTTTGTCCGTTGGAACGATCGGACGCCGGGCGGCAATAAGTCCCGCCCATTGTTAACCCCACCTCTCCCTTCTCTCTCTCTCTTTGTTTCTCTTTCTCTTCCTCTCTCTGTATAACATTCTCTCTTATATGCCTTTCTCTTTTAGTCTTTCTCTCATTTCTTCCTATCTCTTTATGTATTTCAGTTCAAAGAACATCATACAATAAACCAAACTCCTATTTCAGCAATCAATAGCTGAAGTAAAAATTTCATTATTTATCTGAGAAGCAGGAGAAGCTTAAGTTGCTTCAAGAAATGACACAACTCATAACCAAATAAGCTCTTTTTTTTCTCCCCCTCGGTTATATTAAACTTCAATAGAAGTTCCTCATAAGCCGTTTCAGCTTTCATTCTCATTTATGAACTCAAGTAAAAATTATATTCTGATGTCTCACTGTATTTCGCCGTTTGATTTTTCTGTAGTTCATTAGGATTCAAACTTCATAACAATAATTGATGAAGTTACAAAAAATTGTTTGTTTGAAGGGATATCAATGAAACTACTATTCAAGGTTGTTCTAAACAATTGAGCTGTAAGAAGATCTCAAATTTTTTTCAGAAGTATGTTTGTTTCATCAGCCATGTGATTGAAAAAGGTTAACTGATCACCACAAAATTGATAGAAGAAGAAAAGAGAAAATTTCAGCTGAAAAATGAGATAATAAAGATTTTGATGGCATTGGAGCACGTTTTCCCTGCGGCTATACTGATAAGACACCATGATTGCCAATTGTTATTTTTTTCAGTTTGATCACTTCGCTCAAAAAAATGGTCAAAAGCTCAATTTGTCAAGGAAATACCTCTGTTATCACTCGACTTTCTACTAACGACACCCCCTTATGAGATATCTGACGTATACAGCACAAACATACACGTTTGTTGAATAGAAAAATATAGATGATATCAAATGATTTTTCTCTTTCATCATTAACGTGTAAAATCATTGTTCTCATCTCAATCGAGCGATCTCTCCAGAAAGCAACCTTCCCAGATAACGACTGTCTGGACTTTGTTCTTCTGCTCCCTAAGTATTGTTTTCTCTGACACCTTTGTCCGTTCTCAACAATCCATTCTGCAGAGCATTACATTCGTGATGGTTCATTTCAGGTCCAAAGAGATTTCAGATGTCAATTCGGATCATTTCTCTTTTGTTTTGAAAAGAACTTTTCTCGATAAATTTGGAAAAGAAAAAATAGAATACAAACCTGTTACAAACACCATCAAAACACCATTCGCTCTGATAATTTTCATTTTATCTCTCCTTCAACAAGTTGTTTCTTTAAAACAATCCAATTAGCCCCCGTCGAATGTCATACCACCTATGCCCATCAGAACATATCAAAAGATTAAAAATTATCTTTTGCAAATCATAAATATTGTTCACTAAAACGATTGATTCTAATACTAAAAACTCAATGATAGAATATCACTGAATTAAACTTAAGAGAAAACTTGAAAAATATTTATTTAATTATTCTTCTTCATCCATACTCTCTTAGAATCAAGCATCGACTGTTACCCCGTCAGCAATTATAGAAGAATTGTTTCTCTTAAATTTGATATTAACTCATATGTAGAGAAAACCAACACACCTCTGCACTCGTCTTCTTCCAATGGCCCTTTGCTGATGCGTACTTCCTACATCTCATAACCACATAGATGGCCAGGCCTTGAGCGGCAGTAAACAAAATCTTCAAATTATTAATTTAAATATTTTTAACAGACTTAATAATTTACTTGAAATAATGTCCAGCTGATATCGTATCGAATATTTCCAAATATCTTTCGATGAATATCCATGAGAACAGCCGCAATTGTTAGAACAGTAAAGACGCAATTCAGTATGAAGTTCGTGAGATAAAAAACGAGAAACGGCCTGCAAAATCTAGTGTCTTTCAACTTTTCGTGGAAGAGTGAAATGGATATTGAATTTCATTATATTCTAATTTTATTTTCTGCGCAGTGGCGTGTTCGAGCTACGTGAAGAGCAGCCATAGAGAGTTCATTTTGGATTGCGTGGGTGCAGAGAACGGTTGAATAAGCTTCTTCACTTTTAAAGTTTTTCTTCTAGTTTACAAATAAACTTACGTGAATAGTTTTTTGTTATCTTTTCGTATTCCGAAGAATAGTAAAACATGGCAAGGCAATCCCACAATGAATGCGAAAATGAGATCACCTATAACAAATGTAATAAAAATTTAACAAAAGAGAAAGATTTACATAATTCCAATTGATCGATAAAAGGGTTCCGTCCTAGGCCACGATTATGATAGAAGGTATAGGTGATGCAATAAGAAATGGTTATAGCAAATCCAATCGCACATGCAATGTATGCTCCAATCTGAATAAACACGTTTACAACAGCGTTTTTGAACTTATAGTTTACGTGAAACATACCTTCACATGTACATTCGTCCTGAATAGTCTGAATTGCCCATCATTTTCGCGAAATGTCACAATTTCAGTTCCATCGATTCTGACAAAATGTGCTTCAAATTCAATAGGAGAAATAAAAAAGACTTTGTTTCAAATTGCGAATAATCGACATCTTCCTCATGAATTATGTTTTTAACAAAACGCTTAGCGTTACTAATTTCTGTAATGAGAATGGGTTTGAATGTCTCATCCGACAGTCAGTACCTGGTCTATCTAAACATCTTTTGAAAAATGACATGAGAAGTTATTCTGAAACTTATGAAAATATCTGAGAAATGGATAGGAAATGCAATTTATAAAGGATATGAAATGAGAGAGAAGACGAAAACTTAAAGGAAAATCCATAAGATAATGTTTTTTTTATAATTAATTTACTGTTTGCAGAAGAATATCCATCGCAGCATGGTCTTGTCGCGTAAAAAAATTTTTAGAACATCGTAATTTAACGAAATTTCGTGGTCGCCCTCATAGAAGGTCGATGAGTTTGTTGAACAAGACGGAAGAAATTCTGAAGTCAAATTGCACGAGACTTGACGATCATGATGAACAGACGGTCAAAAGATTTACGAATTGAAATTGAAGTTGTTGGATATAAGCGAGGGGGGGGGGAGAAGGAACAACAGACAAACGACAAACGACAACTGGATATAACTCTCCAATACGCTCAAAGACCATTTATAGAAATCATCAGATCAGGAAGAAGAAGAAGATTTCTCATTCACCTCATCTTCCTTAATGCGTTCTTTCACCTCTCCCTCAACTTTCAATTAATTTTCGTGTCTCCACATCATAGACGAACACGAACTCAAATTGTCCAAAACGATCAAATTATTTTTACATCGCAAACATCTATTAGGATGAAGTGAAAAAAGTGGAATCGTAAACTTAATAAAGCTTTTTAACAGAATTCAAGCAAGAAAATACTTCAAACACTGAATTTAACAATGTTCTTTTCATCCAACATGATCGTATGAAACCAGTCAGAAAATGAGGAATAGCTTTGATTAGCAACTCTAGGACTTGTTGTGATCTAAACGTATTTCGAACCAACCCATGTGAAGAGCGGATTTCAAAACGTAATAGCCGATTTAAACGATAATTTCTGCCACGAACATGTAGGATTAAGAAGTAAAGAGTTAAAAAAAAGAGATACATAGTTCCGATGAAAAACTGAATAGTTCAGTCATCTTAAAACAAAACACTTTTGTTAACATTGGTATAAACGATACGTCCGACATACTAATAGAACTATCAAATAGTTACCCAAGTAAGAAACGCTTTCACTTCAATTAAAGATGGTTGCCGAGAGAAGAAGAAGAAGAGTACAAAGAACATATTGATTTTTGATAAATTCAATTAATTTCAATAATAGTATTGGAGATAAGGTCAAGATACACTTAAAACCTTCTATAATCACAAGGAATTATTATGTAGAGGAGACGTCGATCGAAACCATCATGTCCACAAGACGATTGTTTAGAGGAAGAAACGAGACAGCCAGGATATAAAATGGGTCAAATAAAAGATAGAATGTTGTTCCCTTTAAGACCATTTCTTATATACAAAAATTACCATCCAATTAAGAGTTTTTATTATTATCAATTTGAAATCCAATTAGCTTCGGTAGGTTCACAATTGTGTACATTTGTCATCATTACTACTATGAGGAAGTTTTTGAAAATAACTTTAATTGAGCATTTGGATCAAGATAATATGAGATGAGTGAGAGACACAACCGATTCCAAGCGAAATTACCGATGAAATGAAAAGCAGTGCGACAGTCATGTTTGACTTTTTTTAATTCTGAACTTTACGTGTAAATGACCGGTCGACTGAACGACATCTGTGAAAACAATAAAAAAATTAGTTCAAATCAATGTGATTCAAGGTAACTTTATATAGTTTTATAATAATTACATAATGTAATAAATAATAAACATAATTACCGTAATCACCCTCTAAAGAAGCGCCCTAGTGCCACGTTCTGACTTTTCCCGCCAAACAGGATTTGAGATTATCCTAGGCTCTTGGTCAGTTGGTTGGTTGCATGCCTATTAAGATTTTATTTTGATTTTTCAATTTTCATATTTTGAGTGTGAAAGAGTTAATATGTCGTTTTCCTTTCAACTTCTCCTTTGTTTGATTTCTGTGTTTTTGTAGATATTATGTTACTTGGATGTTACAAAAGGCTTCACAATCACTTTATTTTCGCTTGACATTTCACAGTTTGACCCGCTGCAGCAGCAGGTTATTGAAATGAATGTTTTCTTTGAGATTCAAATCATCGTTTTCATTCTTCACAATGTTTTAATTTTTTAATTACTACTTCGTCCTTTCCACATTTGGTGTATTCTAAGTTCTCTTAACATGTGTGAGCGTTAAAGGATTGATTTTCTACCATTCCCTGCTTCTTTTATCTTTTTCTACCTGTTTCTGTATCATGTGTTACTAATAATTTGTATATATATACATTCTTTTTAGTTTAATTGTTCATTATGAGCCTTGCTGATTGTTCCACAGCTAGTTCTGATCTTTCTGGATCACAACAATTCATGACGAAAACTGGTAAGTTCTGGTATTTTAAGAATCTACTTGAACTTTAAGTTTCAGCTCCCAGTGCATTCTCAGCCGCTGCTTTATCCGTCAAAGCTCAGAAGAAGCTTGCTTCTAAGTTAGCAAACCGGTAGCTTTGTTCAAGTTCAGTTTTACGAAAGACGTTTATTGCAGAACTGTGACCAGACTTTTCATCTCTGATGCAACAAATCGTCTTCTAGATGATCTGTCAGATGTTTTGAAAGAAGTTTTCCCAAAAAAAGACGCAGAAAAGGTAAGTTGACAAGTTTCATTGCTATTTATCAGTATTTGTTAAGGTTGTGAAAAATATAATCAAATTATCTGTGAAAATTGGAATTTTGGCTCAGAACAACATTTTGAATCATGATGAGATCAATCAATTGTTTGTTGTCCAGAAATATCTGCATTCCTTGGCCTTGGCAGTTATTTCATTCCAAAAAGTATTTACTCTTCCACATTCCACTATGAGCTGAAGTTTAGGTCGCCTATTCATATGAGAGATCTTATTTTTTGCAAGCTATGAGCAATTTAAAGCAGTCCCTGGCCCCATTGGTAGGCTTTGTTGATTTTTTTAGAGAGTATTCTTGTTATAGGTTGGTGTAAATCTCTCTGATAAGTCTATGAAAAGGCTGGATCATGTTTTTGATCATTTAACGAATATGACATTTTGTGATGGTCTTTTCAAGGTAAGCTTACGTATTTGGAGAAATTGAAATTCGCTATTTTTAGGTGAATGGACCATATGCTGGACAGTTGACTCGTATTATTAGCCATTTGGAATGTCTGCTCGACGAGAAGAGCTTGTAAGAAAGTTTTTTTGAATATAAAGATGATCATAATTGAGCTCAGTTCAGTATTATATGATTCTCCTTTGATTACTAATCATTTATTTTATTGATGTATGAAAACTGTATCATGCTGCATGAATTAAGTTCGAGTTAAGTGATGTTTAGAAAGCACCAAACAACTGCATTATATATCATCCAATGTAGTTGTTGTTTAGATTTATTGAAGATTATTAGTGAATAAAATGCTTAAATCCATTGCTTTCTGATTATTCTGAAGATGCTTTAATGGTCACCATCAAATACAACGACTGCTCATTGCACCAATGATAATCATTGATAGTTGTGGATTGGGCTAGGAGGCGACCGTTTGAACCTTCGGTAATTAACTTGTTTTATAGCTCCATATGAAATTATATTGGCTCAACGTTGATAAGCGAGTTTCTTTTTTAATTCACTCTGAGCAACAGCAGTTCCAATCTTGATGTGATTGATTTATCTTCATCATTCTATGAAGTACTCACTAGATTTTTCTTTTTGTTTTTCTGAAACTTTTCATATCATCAGCCCAATGTTAACATATGATTCCATTGACGCATCTTATTGAACTAATTTCAGTTAATGTTTCTGAAAACATTGTGTTTGCTCTTGATACTTGCTCAAGCACAATGCATGTGTCCTAATGGTTTTGAAGAATCTGTTCTCGGTGATTGTTTCCAAATAATATCCACACCCAAGTAAGTTCCCAACTGCTGTCTATTAACATGAACGATGTTAAGAAATTGGGCAGACGCTGAATCTTACTGTAAGGGTATCGGAGGACACTTAGCATCAGTTCATAATGGGTTCGAGGGAGCAGTTCTAAATGGTTGGCTGTTGCTATTTTTAGCAAGACTAAAAGGTTCATTCAGTGATGGCTAAGAATCAGAGCTGCTTATATACGTATCTTGGTGGCAGTTGTACTGGAAAAACATGCTCTTGGGTAGATGGATCTAAATTTGATTATAATGAGGTACCTTCAGGTCAGTTATATGATATCATTGGCATTTGTCTACATTCCGGAAATGATAACATAACCTCTATTCTTTTAGGCCAAACATCCACTTCTCAACAATATTTGGTTTTCGCAACGAATGCATGTTTGTAATTGTTTTTATACAACTTTTAACCGAAATTTAAATGGAAAAAGAAGAGAAAAAAAGAAAATATTTTTCAGCCAATTGGTATTTGCGAAGTGGGAATGAAGCTTACTGCTTTGCTTGTGAACATCCTGCTCAGAAAACAGATTGCCTTGATTGGAAATATGCTGGAAATTTAAGGCTGGTACAGTCTGGAATAATATGATTCATTCGGAAAAATCTTCATAAAAAATAATAATTTTCCTTATTTTGACTTTTAGCAGTGGGATTTATCCGATCACTCTCCAAAATAATACTTACGAAGTATATTGCGATATGGAAACTGATGGAGGTGGATGGACAGTCATTCAAAGGTTAATCTCTAGAACATTTAACACAGTTACAATATGAGACTGTAGTTATCAAAAAACAATATTACATTCTCATTTGAAGGCGTTTCGATGGTAGTGAAGTATTTTGGAACCGTAAATGGAATGAGTTTAAAGCTGGATTTGGAGGAAAAGGACTTCCGGTTCGTTCATACTTCAATCAGTTTTCTTATTATTATCACAGAACACTAATTACTGGGCCGGTAATGAAGTTATTCATATGCTGACAACGGTAAGTTATTCCTTCTTCTCTCCACTCCTCTGTGTCTCTGTCCGATCCAGTTATGCAAAACATCAATGAGAATTTACAGAAAACACAAACAAATCTTCGAATTGAGATGCATGACGATGGAACCCCTAATTCAGCTTATTCTCACGATTTTTGGTTTAATGAGTATGACTCATTTGAGGTTATTTTCGAACCTATTTTTCCAATTAAGACTACAAAATTTTTTTGTTAACTGAAGCGATTTTCATTTTCTTCTATTTTCGTTGCTTCTCGTTGCATATGCTTTTGTGCAAATATCGTTTTAATTCGATTACGTCTTCAACCCAAATTTGATAATTCTAGAAAATGCCTTACGGAAGGTTTCAATACATTATCCAAACTTATTCTCAAATCAGCTCATTTTCTTTCATTCCCATACATCTAATCAAGAACATTCCTTTTTTTCATTTCTTCCAGGTGACCAATGAAGCTGACTCATATAGACTCAAAATATCAATTGACTGGCAGAATGTGAAAGGAAATGCATCTGATGGATGGTAAGATTCGTTTTCATTAATGCAACCGCTCTTCATGAGTCCATTGGGGAAAATGGCATCCACGTATGACTGGCGCCACTTTTCTTTAATCTGATTCGCACTCTCGTTTGAAACTTTACCAGATGCATACTTAATGGAGTGTTTTAATACTCTCATTAGTTGTTCACCCTAACCTATCCTGTTTAGGTACGATTTGACTTATTCCAATTTGTCTCCTTTCTCCACAGTTGATCGTATCAATGATCCACGCCCAGATTGCGTCACTAAATATCAAATGGGGTTTGTTTATAAAAAAAAGCAGAGTAATTAGAAGAAACTTGTTTTTTTTAAAGTGGATGGTGGCTTTACAACTGTGCTTTAAGTTCTCTTAATGGAGCATACACCCCAATTGATTGGTCAAATGGATATGGTATGTGCAATACATCATTTGACGTGCACGATGATTGTTTTTGCAGGTCTTTTTTGGATTGTGGATGGTTCTGATCTAGTCATCCACCCACGTAAAACATTAATGATGATTAGAAGAACTGTATGAACCTTTCAAAAAACGACAATAAATAGTAAAAATCTGTTTTTTTTGTTTCCTGCATTGTCTTTGTAATTCATCTTGGGCTGCAGATTAGTTGTCTCTTTCTTCTTTTTGGTATATGCTCATTTTGTATTTATTATTTGAATCTTTGCTCATACTATTTGTCCGGAAGCTGCATATGTTCGCGGATAACATATTCTACTTTTAATTCATATCCGTTTTTAATTTCTATCTTAAAAGAAAACTATGATGTGATCTTTTGGTCACGAGCATGATGTCATTCCGCATGTAGTTAAGTATAATAGAAAATTGTCTATGAAGTTCATCATATTCCTTTATGAGCAAATAAAATTTAAGTAGGTTTTGGAAAAAGTCTTGGACTCGCAAAGCGTGTAGAACGTGTGGTCTCGTGGTGTAGTGGTTATCACATCTGTCTAACACACAGAAGGTCGGCGGTTCGAGCCCGCCCGAGATCAACTGTTTTGTTTTCAACATTTCATCTAGCACTTAATATATTGTCTCGTTCTGCTGGTATTGTAAACATCTCAGACATGTACGTTTAATTGGAAATAAACTTTAAGTAGTTTCGCACCGAGTATGTTCTTTACAACCTTCTTCTGGAAACTTTGCAGTTGGATAAGTTCAAAATATCTTGCAGCCCCTTTGTGAATAATTTTGTTTGTACGTAATCCTTTACATGGTGAAATATTTTTGTTCGGTTTTAATTGAGTTGTTGGAACACAAAAAAAGGTTCGATTTTAATATCCTGAGCGATTCTCTGTACATGCTCATACATGGCTATGAGAAAATAACACGGGAAATGATGACGCAAACGAGCATACCTGCTTTATTAGTTTTAACATATTCAACCCGAACTTTGGTTTTCTCTTTATTATCAAAATAACACCAATACAATCAAACTATAAGATTGGAGGAGACAAGACTGCAGAACAAGTTAATGACGAGGTCTTAGATCAGATACTATAAAATTAAACGAGTCATGAGAAAAGCATAACCCGGAGTATGTCGCATAAAGAATATGCATAGGACGAAAAATGAATTGAAACATACTTGATATCTTAAAGCATCATTGCCTGAGGACAATCAATCGCTCGCTCAAATAGCTTGAGCTTTTATTATTTTGTTTTTTATCTTTCATTTCTTTTTTTCCCTGACATCCTCTACCATTTAGCTAGTGCAAGTAAGAGAGACAATCTGTGAGGTAAATAGAGAGCAAAGATAAGATTTGTTATTTAAGATGATGTAGTTTAGTGCTTCATTAGATAAGTTCAAAAAAACTATTGAAAACAGAAGTCTGATTAGATAACTTTTAATGAGTTTTCACATCCAGAAATAGAAGCTTAATTGTGAGAGGTGTAAAGGACAAGAGACGCAATAAGGATATGAGAGTGAGATTCAGAGAAAGGGTTGCCGTAAGATAATTCCTGATAACGAGAACTCTGGATAGGGTGCCAGAGGACACAAAAGTGTGCGAAACGGAGAGGAGAGAGTGAGAGAGAGAGTGGCGAAAGGAGGGTAGATTGAGCTAAGGAGACATTACTGAAACAACAAATAAATCAGGATTTCTGAAATAGAAAACAGCTTCCAAGTAATTTTTTTGGAATCAATTCTAATGAGAATCTGAATTTGCCACGGCCTTTCTCGGATGCACGAGCAATTCAGATTCTATATTTCTAACTTATTAATCTGGCTTATTATTCATGAGAATTACTGTCTTCTGTATTTATTTATCTCTCTTCTCATATTCCTAAAAATAAATTCTCTGAACAGAGAGATGAAGAGAGTGTTAGAGATTATGAGGCAGTGAGATATGAAAGGATAGAATTAGACAGTATCTAAGACCCATTCCTATTACTTCATACTAGAAAGCACATGGAGATTTAGCTGAATGTGAGCTCTGCATTTGTGTTTATGCAAATTTCACGTGTACCTGACGTAGTAAAGAACAACAACTATTTATTTCAGTTATTTCTAGAACCGACACTGGTTGCATTTTTTCTTTTCTTCACCGTTTTTACTTCCTCTTTATCTACCATGCTAAGATACAATCAGGCCCGCTCTACTAGAAAGTTTATCGCCAAATATGCCAAAATGATTCTAAAACATTCTCCTATCATTCGTTCTGCTGCATTAGAGTTTCAGCATGGATTATGTTTCAAGGCTCAAAGCAAGTTCAACCGCTATTAATCGTTCTCATGCAAAGAACCGAATAAGCTAGTTTAATCGTGTTAGAACCTTTATAGGTTAGGATTCAAACCAATTAATGCTTCATGAGCCTTCTAGATATGTTTACAAAACGAGAAAAAAAATAAATTGTTTTTTTTATCGTACGTTGGCTGATGTCCGCATCTTGTTGTTCGTAAATGATATGTGTGAACTATGTCTGTGCAAAGCATAATCTGCATAATTAATGATAAAATGCTGTGTTTCTTCACAATACTCAGAAAGATTTTCATTATGAAACGGAATAATAAAGCGTTTGTGAAACACTACTCTCTTTACAAAAAAAAGACAAAAAACTGATAGAGAGACAATGGAAGGGAGGGGGAGGGAGAGAGGAACAAAGAGGTAAATCACAAGAAGTGTTTACAACTTTTTTTGCTTAATTATTATATTTTTTATAATTGAATAAGTTATTTTTCCTTCTCCACATTCTTATACAAGCACAGTACTGAACAGAAGAAGCAAATTCTATTTTTGATTTTTAAATTCAAATCTTCTCTTTATCCATCTGATAATGTACTCATAGCTACTTCGAAAACTTTCTTCGCTTTCACGCAACATCAGAAATCATCTTTTTTCTCTCATTATGATGTCTCATTTCTTCAACTACTTATCATAATTTTTTTCCTTTTAAGGAGTATACGCGCGCCCACTTTCTCTCTCTCTCTCTCTTTCTTCAACTCTCTCTATCTCTCCCTCTCTCTTTAAACTATGTTTCAGAGATTCTAGGGAAGAGAGTTCAAAAAAAAAGGAGGCAAAGAGCAATATGTTAAAGCGCAACATCTTCTAATAGCATTTTATGCCCCCCCCATTTTCTAACAATTTCAATAATGGAAGACAAGAGAATAATAAGAAAAAACGTGATTATTGATAGTTGAATGTGCTCATTTGCAATTCTTCTTTTAACTTTTGCCATCTGATGAGTTGTTCTCGTTTTTGTTGAAAGTTGTATTCCATTATTATTCATACCAGCTTTTTGTCTAAATTGATTTTGTCCGTCACAAGCTGACCAACATTTTTTTTCTCTCTGTACCTTCTCACGTTCAGCGTCACACAATTAAATAATTAAAATATTTAAAAATAATTTATACAAAAATGGGTTTCATCTACACGTTTGTGAGGCCAAAAAACGTTTTTGATCTTGGGCTATTCGGAATTTATGAGAACTCAGAATCATTTCTGCTCATCCGAACTAGTAACGTCATAATATGCAAAGCGACTGGAAGCTATCTCATCCTGTACGGATGTTCATTGAAATTAATAAACTTTTCGAAAAAAAAGAAATGAGATGTTGTCATCTTCATTATCGATGATAATCGAGTTAAGCGGTCGGTTATTTTTACGTATTTGGCTTTCATGAATCTTCTGATTTCATTGAGCTCTTAATACTCCTATTACATTCTACTCACTTCTTATCAATGAAACAATCGAGTTTTCAAGTTCTTTTCCTTCTTTGGTGCTTCCATCAGGTGCCACGCCTCTTTTCAGATACAGATCTCTAAGTCGTCGTTGAGCTCCGCCCCTCGACGACGTCGTAGATGGAAGCTCGGACTCAGTTGTGTATGATAACCAACCTAGAGACTACCTTCTCTTCTATGTCAATTGTATCTTCCTGATAATCTTCTTACGTCGTTGTTACGTCTTTTTTCCATTCTCTTCTCTATTTTACTGATCTACTTCAATCTGTATCTAAGACTTATCTCATAAATTCAACATTTCCTATAAGTAGATTCGATCCTTTTGTCATTTGTTTTTTTCCGATTGCTTCAGCACCTCACCATCTCACGTAACACTTTGAAAAGAGAAGCTCAAAACCTTTCTTTAATTCTTTTGATTTTCGGCAACAAAGCTATCATGACGTCATTTACATATTCACGTGAAGTTTCAACGTGAATATTACATAAAGTGTCAAAGAAGCTTTTTTTCCATTTTCGACAGACACTGACCTACAGCACGGTTGTGATCTTCAAAGCACCATGCTTAGCAGAAAAAGATGAAAAAAACATATTTAATTACAATTAAGACTATAAATAAAAGGTAAGAAAGGCGATTCTCCTCATTTAAACATACTTCTCTCATGTATAATTCGGGTTTGCTCTTTCTATCAATTTTTCTCTTTTTTTTTGTTTTCATTCCATCTTCAGACGCTCAAATAATATATATTTCAGCATCAACTAGTTATGCATTCGACTGCTGTATCCATCATTTACCTCACTCTGGTCTTTGGAATGACGATGGCGCATCTTCATCCAACACGTGGATTAACAACCTCTGTAAGCTATTGCTCTCCTTTTATTTATATTTTCATGCTTTCCTTTTGCTTCCTTCAAAATACTTAAAATATAAAAGAAGCCCTCCACCCCTATTCTTGATATAAATAAACAATCGTCTAGCTCACTTGATTAATTAGAAAGTTCTTCACATAATCTTTCTTTCTATTGTCGAACATTCTTATAGTTCTCACAACATTTAAATATATCATCTTAATTTCTGTTTTCATTTCTTAAACTTAAACTATTCAATCATATACTATATGAACTTGCTTCACCTTAACTCTGCTTTCATCATATGACTTCAATCATCCCCCTCATCATCATCATTCTCATCATCCTCATCCATCTGCTACCTTATGATCTTTAATTTGCCATTTCGTACCTATTCGCATAATCATTCATGTTTATTCTAGCTTTCGGACTACAGAAGACCAATATGTAGCCCCGATCAAACATGTTCATATGAAGCAATGGGCTTAACGTTTAGTCTATGCGATTGTCCTCAACAAGATTCATGTCATGAGAAGCATAGCTTTAAGCATCAGAACACCGTATACAGTGTGAGTATTTCGTTATAATTCATCTCAAAATTCAATCTCTATATGGAATATTATTTTATTTTAAGTTTTGCCAACAATATCTTCCACCTGTATGCTGGGAGAATGATATATCAGTTGTTGTTTCTGGAATTCAGACATCAATTCGATGCATTTGTCCAGAAGACTATACGGTCAAGAAAGACAAATCATTGAAAAACGGAGATGTGCAGTTCAGATGTGTTTCTGTGAGTTTATTTCATTTCATTATTCACAAACACCTGTACAACGGAAGTTCTTATCTATGCGAGACTCTCACCCTCTAGCTCATTCTCTTCATTCCCAATTCTCTTTGTCATGACAGGTTGAAAAAAAATTGAATCAGGTTCAAACTACAAACACGAAAACTTCAGCAAATCAAAACAAAGTCTAATACGAGCAGTGAAAAGTTTGAACTTTGAGACTCTCAACTAGTCGTATCATTGATCAGAGTAGGTTATTGAAAACATCTGAACAATGATGGATTGCCCCATTTGATACGAAATTTCTAAAAATATCAAATTTCAATATTTTCAATTGAAGAAAAGAAAAATAAGGACGAGAACCGCTTCCTTTCCATTAATAATTATAATATATATTTTGAATTGAAAATATGAAGTAAACGACATCCGTAACGTCATCCAACGATCAAATCTTGGTTGTGCTTGTTGAAAGGAAGTACAGAGCTGAGATTTCAATAAGACAATTCTTATTATCACTTATACTTTTGACAAATAAAAGTTACTTTTTCATTTTTCATTCCAGACTATGGTCTAACAAAGGAAGTTGGAAAGGTGGAATTCTCTTGTTTCGAGACCTCATCGCTTGCCTTCACTTCTCTTTCTCTCTCTCTCTCTCTCCCCCTCTCTCTCTCTCTCTATCTATCTCTCCCTGGTTGTCTCACTTCTCTCTTTCCTATCTCAATCTTTTCAAAATCCTTATCTTCTGTTGGCTTTTTCTTTCCTCAATAAGCACTACAACAGACGCTCTTGTGCATGTAAGAACGAAGCAGCTTATCCCGTAACCTCATCGAAATTCAACCTTCATCATATTGTTTTGCAATTTTTTTTTCTTTCGGATTAATTTTTTTTATTGTTCTTATTATTATTATTATTTATATTATTATTATGTTAATGGAGCTAAGTACAGCTATTGGAAGAGATTATTGCCAGAGCCTTCCCTCACCCTCGCCATTCCCCCCATTGCCACACGAACTTTCTCCTTTTCGGGAGTTTAGACAGATTTGTACGCAAAATCAAAAAGCTACATCTCCAATGGGATATAACAGACAAGATATGCTTATAACACATATTGTTTTCTAAAACAATTATTAGATTAAATAGGAATATTGATTTTATATATATGGTATAATCAATCTCATAGAACAAACTGTAGAAAGCGAAACGAATCTTCTATTTCTACTTCACGATGCTTGGATTTGTCGTCAATAGACATGATAATGTCATTCAATTGGTAGGATTGAAACATCTTCTATCTCTTAGGCATATTATCCATCATTCGCTTCTAAGCTTTTCCTCCTTTCATTTCGACTCTTCAGTAATGTTTCCGGTTTGAGCGTGTGATTCTAATTTTCATAAATTTTGAAGTTTTTTTCGTTGTTTCGCTGTTTATGATAATTGGAGTATTCGTCCTATGTATCTGATGAATGATTCATTATAATAAATCTTGTTTTCATCACATTTTGGTGTAAAAAAAGAAAAAAAAACAAAAAAAAGATAATTTCAGATGCTCTATCAACCGTTGCTCACGTCAGGCGTTGATGAAATGAAAATATGAATAGCAGTTCACGTCAAAATTCCACGTGTATCTATCTCATTCTCTCTCCCCTTCTCCCTCTCTCTCTCTGAATGTAAACATACTAAGAATACGATAATTTCTATTTTCTACTAATTATTCTCAATATGAGAGAGTTCCGCTTGATGAACCTATATCGGGCTGTACTTGATTTCAGTTTTCCCCCAACGACAACGATGTATTCTCAGGAGTCGCCTACATCTTTCTCCACCTCCACATCTCATTGTTTCTCATGTTATCTATCTATCTCATGTATTCCATCTTCATTTCTTCTCATTTCTTTCAACTGTCTTAACAAATAATCATTTTGTAAGTCATGAAAGTTTATCATATTTACCAATACAATCGTAACTTGATCTATTCTGTTTATTATTTGAAAACAAAAATACATTTTATCTGCCTTCTTCAAGTGCTTTTTAAAAAAAATAAAACATAAAAATATCTATTATACTAAGCATAATCTATATATATATATATATATATATATATATATAT